ATGCTTTTGAACTATGGTGTTGGAGAAGACTCTTGAGAGTCCCTTGGATTGCAAGGAGATCCAACCAGTCCATCCTAAAGGAAATCAGTCCTGAATATTCATTGGAAGGACTGATGCTGAAGCTGAAGCTGCAACACTTTGGCTACCTGATGCAAAGAACTGGCTCATTGGAAAAGACCCTGATGCTTAGAGGGATTGGGGGCAGGAGGAGAAGGGGATGACAGAGGATGAGATGGTTGGATGGCATCACCAACTCAATGGACATGAGTGAGTAAACTCTGGGAGTTGGTGATGGACATCTGGGAAACTTCCCCTGCATGGGCCGAGAACCTGACACCATGCCCACTGTGCAGGTGCCAGGCTGGAGGAGGATGGCAGTATTACTCCTGCCTGCTCAGAACCCCATGAGTGCTGCTTACCTGGATCCATGTCCCTGGAATTCCCAGAAGGAGAACTGGATTTGAGGTAGGAAGCTTGGGCTCCAAAGCCCTATGTTCCAGCTGCCTGTCCTCATACAAGCCTTTCCCTTCCCCTTTCTGAATCATAATTGCTTCATCCATCATACTCATGTGTGGGTATCAAGTACATAGGGGCATTAAGTCCTTTTGGAAGGCTCGAGGATGCCAAAGATTTAGTAAGTTAACTCAACAAAAAATGTTCTTACTTTCTAGGGCTGTTGACAGGGCAATGCTATGAGATAAATGATAAAAGGCAAATTCTCTGGATGCTGTCTGACCCATGGGGGTGGGGAGTCTGGCACGGGCTGCAGGAGAAGGTGGTTCCAGGTGAGCATCACCTGGCTGCCCTCGCCTTCCTAGAAATCTGGTCAGGGAAGGGGTGCTCGCTGGAGCTGGGTGCTGTCCAGGTGCCTCTGAACCACCCACACCAGGCTGCAGAGCCAATGGCTATCTTGGGGTGAAGGACTGGAGGGGTCTCCTCCCCACTGCCTGCACCTACCCAGCATGGGTATGGCTCCCACAACGCGGTGAAATGGGTTGTCTCATTCCCCTTTTTACTGATAAAGGAGCTGAAGCCCAGAAGGGGAAGTGACTTAACCAAGGTCACAAAGCTAGTAAGTCGCAGAATTGAAACTAGACCTAGAGTTCCTGACTCTCAGATCTGAGATCCTTCCAATGATACCTGGGTCCCTATTCCCCCTGCTAAGCTCCATACCTATGGAGAATCTGTTGACGTGGCCATAGGGACCCCCAGGGACAGAGAGTTTGGCATAGAGCTGACCAAACATCTCAGTGAGTTGCAGAAATTTTAGAACAGGAAGAACCCTTGGAAACCTTCTAGCCAAAACCCTCCTTTTGCAATGGGAAAACTGAGGCCCAGAGAGAGACAGGGATGTGGCTGAGGTCACACAGCACTTGAGCATCAACTTGGAGACTATAACCCAGGTCTCTGACTCTTAGTCCAGTGCTCTTCCCCCTTGCCACTGGCCTGGAGCAGAGAGATGCCCTCAGGTGGAGGCATCAAAACCTTAGGCCAGGCACTGGGTGTCAGCACTTCCGGTCAGGGCAGCACCACAGGTATTGAGTTCCTTGTTCCAAGGCAGGGGTAGAGCTGGACTCCAGGCCTGGAAAAGCCAAGGCAGGGACCTTAGGCGCAGGGTAGTGAAGGAGGTGTGGGAAGCAGGGCCTGGCCCAGGCGGCTGTGGGGACCACCTGGCTGCATGGTGCCAGGATCTGGTCCATCCCGCCATTTAACAGACGGAAAAACCAAGGGCCCAAGAGAGGAAGATGCTCATGGCTGAGCTGGGAAATGAACCCAAGTCTCTTGATTCCCAGTCTTGAGCCATTTATACAATAAGCAAAATTGATGTTGTTGCTGCTGCAAAATAATAATAATGGTAGAGGTAGCAGATCAGGTGGAACTTTATAGGGCAACAGTTGTCACTCTTAGGGCTGTGACAGTAATTGTGTGTGTGTGTGTGTGTTCAGTCATTAAATCATGTCTCAGTCTTTGGGACCCCATGGACTGTAGCCTTCCAGGCTCCTCTGTCCATGGGATTTCCCAGGCAAGAATACTGGAGTGGGTTGCCATTTCCTTCTCCAGGGGATCGTCCCGGATCCGGGATTGAGCCCAATCTCCTGCATTGGCAGGCAGATTCTTTACCTCTGAGCCACCAGCTAAGCCCCGGTGACAGTCATGAGAAGAATATCTACCGAGGACTACCGTGTCCTCATCCCCTGCCCCTCCTCCACCCCGGACGGTGCTCCCCTGCCCCACCTGTGCTTTAGGACCCGTCATTCTGCCAAGTGATGTTCCCAGTCCCCTGTGGAGCTCTTAGAAGAAGTGTGATATGCAGGCCACACACCAGAATCCAGAGATTCTGATGTAATGGGTCTGAGATGGGGCCCAAACACAGTCCTTTATAGAGAACCAATTTTATATACTTTTAAAGTAGATATATTATTGTGGTATAATGTACTCACAGAGAAGCATACAGATCACATGTGAATGGCTCCAAGGATTCAAAGGGAACCAACCAACAGTAAATCACTTAAATCAAGAAATACAGGGGACTTCCCCAGCAGTCCAGTGGTTAGGACTTCCCCATCCAAGGCAGGGGGTGCAGGTTCGATCCCTGGTCAGGGAACTAAGATCCCACATGCCTCAGGGCCAAAAAACATAAAACAGAAGCAAAATTGTAACAAACTCAATAAAGACTTTTAAAATGGTCCTCAAAAAAAGTCTTAAAAAAATACCGTGTGACTGGCCCCCTTCATGGGCCCTCTCAGTTAGCTCCTAAAGGTAACCACTCTCCTGACATCACCATAGATTAGTTTTGCCTGTTCTTGAACTTTATATAAATTGAATGGTGTGCGAGTGTTGTTTATTATCTGATTTCTTTTGCTCAGTTTGGTTCATGAGATTCATCCTGTTATTGTGTGTAGTGGTGGTTTGGGTATTTCAATGATGTCTACTATCTGTCACGTGAATATACCACAATGTAGAATGCTAATAGGCATTTGCGGAGTTTTCAGGGGGGTTATAATGAACCGCACTGCTATGGATACTCTTGAACTTTTCTTTTGGTGAACATATGTACACAAGTCTCAGGCATAGACCCTGGAGTGGGATTTGAGGGTCGAAGGAAATATATATGCTCAGCATCAGCAAATGCCATCCCATTTTGACACTCCTGCCAGGAGTAGGGAGCATTCTGGTTGCTCCACATGCTCTCTAATCATCATTTCCCGTCTTCTTCTCTTGAGCCATTCTGGTGGGCATATAGCGGTATTCCCTTGGAGTCTTAATTTACATTCTCCCCAGATACTTAGGAAGTGAAGTGCCCTTACCTCTGGTGATTGGCCGTTTAGCTGTTTTCTTTGTGAAGTGCCTGGCATAGTCTTTTGAACATCAGTTAACTAGAGCCACAAGAATCCTCCATAACACAGCACCCCCAGTAAGAATTCATTCTCAGGAATTCCCTGCTGGTCCGGTGGTTAGGACTCCATGATCTTAATGCAGAGGGCAGGGGTTCAATTCCTGGTCAGGGAACCTAGATCCCACAAGTTACGTGGTGCAGCCAAAACAAGAAGACAAACAAGCAAAAGTTCATTCTGGCGTCCTGGGTCTGCAGGTCGATGGGCTGATCTAGGCCAGGCCAGGCTGGGCTACTCAGCTCCAGGCTGCAGGCCCACTGGACACAGCTTCTCTATGCCGGCTGGGCTAAGGCTGCCCAGGTGGGTTCACCCTGGGGCCCAGCTAAAGGGCGGTGGCTCCGGGGGGGTCCTGGCGACGGCAGAGGAGCGAGTGCCACTGCACATGCGCATGTCAACCGGCTGCTTTATCACGTCCACCAATATTCATTGGCCAGAGCAAGTTACAAGGCCCAGCCCAATCTCAGTGGGGGAGGACAGGGGCACAATCTGCCTCCGAGGGGAAGAGGAAGGTGAATATTTGCTGAGCAAACCAAATTACAGCCCTGGTATTTTGCATATATTTTTAAAAGACCTTATATGACTCTAATCTTCAATCAAGGCTCAGAACCACTGACCTAGAGTCACACTGCATGTCAGCCAGTCAAAACAAAAGTCAGGCTTAGCTGATTTGACCTCATTTCTTTAAAGCAGTTGACTCAAGCAAAGTCCATTTCTCCTTTAGGCAGTTTTTTTTTTTTTTTTTTTTGAGAAGACAGTCCCTGGAATTAACACGGCAAGTGATTTTAACAACTGATTTTTAACTAGAGCTTATGATTCATCTCTAATAATCTCAACTGTAGTATAGGGCAGAGAAGTGGGGAATATGGTGTTGTGGATAATTGGAAGGAAGGAATGTGAGCACAGTTGTGTAAGTGCCGTGACGGCAGGGATTGTCTGTTGGTATCGTTGTTATATCACCAGTGTTTAGAAGAGTGCTCGGTAAATAACCTCTCAATTAATGATGTATGCAAAAATAAACCGTGGATGAGTGGATGGTTGGTTGAATACATAGATGTATAGGTGGATGAATGGATAAATGACTGGGTGGGGGACAAACAAATACATCAGAGGTTAAATAGTGGAGAGATGGGTGAATGACTGGATGGTTGGACAGACAGATGAGTGGATGGATAGGAGCATGTATGGTTGGATGGATAGATTATTAGAGGGTTGGACAAATGGATGGAGAGGAGAACGAATGGGAGGGCAAATGGATAAATGAGCAGGTAGGTGGACAGCTAGATCCGTGAGAGAATGAATAATTGGACAGGTGGGTGGTTGGTTGGATGGATAGTCAGGCTGGCAGACTGATGAATAGATGAGTGGATGGATGGATGGATGTATAGATGAATGGGTGATTCGGTAGATCATATGACAAAACAAAAGGATGAAACATGATTGTGTGATTGCTACAAGAAAGCATAGCCTTTCCTGTGTATAAACACAGCTACTTTCCAAACTCTTAGTCACCAGGATGGCTTTGGTCTCCTCACAGAGTTTTCTGGTTTGATGCTTGCTCCTCCCCGCTGAGTGTCTTCTGGAGGCGGAGGTAAGGGGTGTAAGAGGATGGCCACGGAGATCAGTGCTCGGGGCAAACCACGCGCCATTGGGCAAGAGGAATACAACCTGTATAGCAGCCTGAGCGAGGACGAGCTGGTCCAGATGGCCATTGAGCAGAGCCTGGCTGACAAGACTCGGGGCCCAGCCACCACTGAGACCACTGTGCCCACACGTGTCAACCGCGAACCCGCCCACTTCTATCCATGGACCAGGTGAGCAAGGGGCATCCAGTCGGGTGCAGATCCCAAACACTGTTAACCCAAGACCAAAGTAGCCTGGTCTCTAAGATGTATTTTCACACTGTAATGACTTAACAGTTTTTATCTAAGCCTCCTGAGCTCTGAAGGTGCCAGGCACTGCCCTGGGTACTATATGCACTTTGCCTCATTTTATCCTTTTAAGGACCGTCTAGGAGGCTCTATGCTATATTCCCATTTTACAGATGAGGAAACTGAAGCTCAGGGCTGAGTGACTAGTCCAGGGTCACACAGCTGGCAGACTGTGTTGCAGACATGGAACTTATCTGGTTCCAAAGCCCATAGCTTAGTCTTGCATCACTGGCTTTATGATTGGATGCAGTGGAACTGAGGTGCTGAATCTGGCCAGAGTTTACAACCTTATCTGTGCTGTCTCCCTGGAAAAACATGTCTGAGAAGCAGTAATATCTGCCTGGCAAAGCCATCTTGCCTTCTGTTCTGGCTCCCCCAACTCGGTATGACCTCATCATCCCATTAGCCGGACCATCTACAGCAGCACCAGTTTGCATCAATAGAACTATGATGTGGGCCTCAACTGTAATTTCACAGATGCAATTTGAATTTCCCAAGAGCCACACTAAAAAGTAAAGAGAAACAGATGAAATTAATCTGTATCTAAAATATTATCATTTCCAAGTGTCATTAATATGAAGCTTATGAATGGGACACTTACATTCCCTTTCATATCAAGTCTCTGGAAGCCAGTGCATAGTTTGCATTCACAGCCCATCTCAGTCCAGACTAGCCACATCTCAAGGGCTCACTAGCCATATGTGGCTACATGCTGGGCGTGTAGCATGTCCAGAGACAGATCTAGACCCCTAGTACCCACCTCATAGGAGATGAGAAGCAGGGAGGTTATTGGGATCTTTAAATGGCACTAGGTCTTATAATGCTTTTGGAAAAGAAGCATATACATTTTAAAAACTGCTTTTGCTCAGCACGGAGTCCAAGTCAAGTGTGTATTTGCAGGAATTTTTAAATTTTATTTTTATTATTTTTTTATTTTAACACCAGAAACATTTTGTATTGGGGTATAGCTAATTAACAACTGGAGTATAGTTGTGATAATTTTAGGTGAACAGCAAAGGGACTCAGCCATACATATACATGGTAGGAAGTGATGTAACAGTTGTGTGGGTGTTTCCTTGAGGCATGGGCCTCAAATCTTATTGTTTTCAACAGCCAATTGACTTCCTGTGTGACCTCAAGCAAGTCACTTAACCTCTCTGAACCTCAAACAATAATAGTAATAACAGCAGCAACAATAGACAGACTTTCTGATGCCCAGAACCAGTGGATAGGGATGAAGGTGGGTGATGGTACACTTTGACCCTGTCCTCTGATGAAAGGGTGACTTTGGCCCTTTGGAGGCTAGACCACTTCTGCCAGGCAGGCTGAGCAAAGGCCTGGGATGCCTACCACTCAGGCGTCCCTTCCCTAAAGGGGCAGGCAGGCAACCTCCTCAGATGAAGGCTCCAAGTTTCTGAGCTATGCATAAGGAAGTAACCTCCTGGGACCCAATCTGAAATGCAGAAGTCCAAAGCCAAGATCATGGAGGCTCATGTTCTAGAAGCCCTGGTTCCTGTTCTGGCCGGTTCAGCCTAAGTCAGACCACAGGTTCCTCTTTCTCAGGGGGATCAGATAGAGAGCAGAGCATCCTCCCCTCATCCCAGCTGCAGCACAAACCATGCATCCCGGAGCCACCTCTGCAGCCTTCTCCCCAGTGTGGGAACCACCCCCAGGAGCCCCGAGGACCCTTGAAAATAATAGCCCTGGGCCCTGACCTCCTCCTTCTTCTATGGGTAGGAAGTAGAAGCCCATCGTGGGGTGTAAACATTTATCCTGAGAAGAAACCTCTCACGTAGCAGGGCAAGGACTTCGGCAAGGCCATGTGGTCCTCACCTAAGACCCAGGCAGTGTCGAGCAGGGCAGAAGGACTCGGCCTGCCTCTCCTCACCCTGGAGGTGACCTGTGGCCTCCTACGTTCTGTTCTGCCCTTTCCTCTCTGAAAGGAGGCAGAGCTGCTGGGAAAGGAAGTCCCTTCCATGTGATTTTTAATGAAATTCTCCTCCTCCTGCCCTGCAAACTCAGCCCACAGGTGTTCACCTGACCCTGAGAGAAGCCACGGAAGGTGGATGTCTCGGGGTCCAGTTTACATGTGACAACGCAGGTGCCCCGCAGGGCCAGGACCCAAACCAAGGTCTGACCTGCCCCGAGTTTCAGACACTTAGCCAGCTGTGCTGATGCTACAGAGGCCTCTCTCTGTTTTCGGTCCCTCCTCCATTTCCAAGTGCTTCTCCCCACTGAGATTCAGGGTCACCCTCGTGTAAGAGACACACAGGCTTGCGCTCACACTCACACACAGCCTGATATCTAAGTCCGATAGAGTCCTTGAACACGTTTATCCCCGAATATCAACGTGTCCATTAAGTGCACCCACAGCAGGTCTAGAAGGCAGGCATCACATATGCCCTCAGAGGCGCCCCATGCCAGCCCCTCTTCATCTTTGAGCAGGCTCCCCGATGAAGCAGGTCGCATTCTTACTTTCCTGGCTGTTTACTTCACTGCCCCGACAATGACTTATAGCTTCTATATTTTTATTTCTGCCATTCACCTGTGAACTCCTTGAAGGCCGGAGCCTCACTCGTCTTTCTTCCTGTGAGGCCCCAAGTCTAGCACATGGGCCCTGACCGGTGGCAACACCACAGAGCTCTTTGTAGGCAGATGAATGGCTGAATGCAGACCCAAGCGAGGCTGTGGCTGATTAGACCGGAAAGCGAAGCGGGTGTAGAGCGGGTTCGAATCCTTCCTCTGTCACTACCGGCTGTGGGACCTCAGGCAAGTGACTTGACTTTTCTGAGCCCCAGCAGCCTTATCCCTAAAATGGTAATAACAAAGCTTGCCTAGGTCACCTTGCACCTTTTCTTACGAAAAGCAAATTAGATGAGGTAGGTGTTGAAGCCCCCCCCACAACATCCTGCCGCCTGAACGACTTCCCCCCACTTCCTCCCTGCATACCCTGACTGTTCATTTCATGACAGCCTCCGTTTCCTGGACAAGCTTTTGTGTCCCTGTAGGAAGACATTATCTGGCCTCCTGAGAGTGTCACCAACGACCCTGTGTGACCTCCCTGGGGACAGGGAACAGATATTATTCAGTTTTGTATCCTCAGTGCCTGGCAAAGAGCCTGGATCACTGCAGATGCCCAGTGAATGTTTTTATACAAATCGGTGTACTTTCAATCCAATAAAATTCTCTAGAAATACAATTTATTGTTACTGCTTGTGACCAAAGTGGCAAATGTGGACATAAAGGTCAACTGGCACTTTGGGATCCTAGAAATGAAAGCCAGCTCAGCATTCCAGAGAAAACATAATACTCCCTCTTAAAGTCATTTTCCAATTTGTTTCTCTTCTACCACAGGGTAAAGGGTTAAACCCTGATCCCTGAACCCAAGGTAAAGGGTTTGGCTTGAATACGTATGAAGATCATTTGCCAAACCTTGGCCCACTGAGGACTCCCTGATTGGAAGACAAACTTCCTATCCAATAAAGAAACAGGGTTCATGCACTCATGAAACAGGGAGTCCAGGGTTACTGATATAAACCAGTTCAAATGGGTCTAGAAGGCTGGGTCTTCCAGTTTTTAAACTTCTGCATTTTATTTAAGGTTACATTTCTAAGAAGATGAAAGCATGAGGCAGGAACTTGCTTGAGCTGATGTATGCACAGCTGCAAGCAATTCAAATAAGCCACTTTTACTGTACAATTATGATGTTCCAGCTTCATTCTTGGCACTTGGATGTGTGAATTAGGCCTGATCCCTGCTTTCCCTAAGCTTGCAGTCTAATGAGGGCAAGGCTCAGAGGTACATAATGATCAAATAGGATGGATGCAGCAAAGAGGCTTGCTTCAGTGTCAGAGGGACACAGGAAGAGTTGATTTAATTCTTAGTCTAGGAAGTGGGCTTTGCAGGATGAATAGGAGTTCGTCAAACAGGCTAGAGGAAGCGAACCTCTTTGAGCTTGTGTCCTCATGTGCAAAAAGAAGCCAATTATATCACCTTCACAAAGTGGTCTAGAGGATGAAATGAAATACTTTGTGCCGTGCCCCTATCATAAGACTAGGTATAGAGCAAGCTCTCAATGAATCTTAGCCTTAGCTGGGAAGGCAGAAGTTGCTGTATTGGAATTCACATTCTCCTCTACATGTGAGTACTCCCTGGCCAGCCCAGAAAGGATGAGTTGGCCAGTGGATGAGAGGGAAACAGAACCCTCATGGGTGGCAGGGGCATGGAGGTAGTGATCCCAAGTGAGCACTTCGTCTCTCTAATCATGAGGACAGAGGGCTGGTTCTCCAGGAATCTGAGGTCTTGGCCTACAACCACACACCACCAAGCCTGCCATAGAGAGTATTACCCTTTCAAAGGTTTCTGTTTGCTTGTTTTGTTATATTCATTGAAATTTATCAAGCATCTTCTGTGTGCCCAGGGGCTCAAACAGTAAAGAATCTGCCTGCCATGCAGGAGACTCAGGTTCGATCCCTGGGTCAGGGAAATCCTCTGGAGAAGGGAATGTCTACCCACACCAGTACTCTTGCCTGGAGAATCCCATGGACAGAGGAGATTGGCGGGCTATAGTCCATGGGGCTGCGAAGAGTCAGACACGACGGAGAGACTAACACTTGACTGGGTGCCAGACCTTGTACTCGTGACACCTGTGCTGGACATAGGGTTGGTGTAAGGCCCAGATGAGGGAGCAGGTATCAGACGCTGCTTGGTAGGGTGGTAGGCACAGCGAAGAGTCTTGTTGTCAGCTCCCTCCGCTATGAAGATGCCTGCTTGCCATCTGCGTTCACCAAGGTCCAGACCAAATTAACACTCTTCCTGGGACTGGCCTGGGCATCTTGTTAACTCCAATAGGACTAGCTGAGAAGTTAGGGGACCTTGTCATCACTGCCCGGCTCCCCACTTTCACCGAGCCTGACCCACGTCTGAAGCCAGGATCAGGATGAGCTGGATTCCAGGACAGGGATGTGGTGACGGTGACACACCCCCAACCCCGACCTGCCCGCCCACATAGAGGACAGGGGATCCTTCCTGGGCCCCTTCCAGGTCATGACCTGCGCCCACATCCTGCCAGGTCCCTCTCACCTCGGATTATTCAGCCCTGGTGGTTTTCTCTGCTGGGAATTTCCCTGCCTTGGACCTGAGGGGAAGTGGGGCCAGCAGGCTTGATCAGAAAGAACATGGAACCCAGTCAGGGGCCCAGCGCGCTTTCCAGCTCTGATCACTCACCCTGTCTGCCCCTCCAGCCCAGTTAACGCCTGATTTCAGGGCCCCCAGAGCGAGCCCTCTGGCCTCTCTCCCAGACCCTCCCCTGTAGCCTAGTGGCAGTGGGTGTCCTGCCCCCCCAACACTGTAGGCCTCTGAACATCTTGAGGATCACATCAATGATCTGCACCACTCGGGCCTAACGCAGGGCGTAGGACCAGCAGGAGCTGGGAAGTTCTCATTGAAACAAACCCAGTCTGTCTGCTTCCTCCTCCGCCTGTGGGAGCAATCCGCCCTCTGACTCCATCCAGGGAGCTGGGAGGATGGAAAGGAGGTGCTGCCCTGAGACTTCAAGAGGGAAAGTCACCATCACCACCTCACTGTCCCTTTCTTGCTGTTACTTTTATGCCATCAGTGAAATGTCCTCATTTCCGGGTGGCAGTGGGCTGTCATCAATGCTTTTTACCTGGCTAAAAAGAGTCTAACAGCAAAAAGTGATGAGGCCACACATGGACCCATGATGAGCGTGCCTGGGTCCCCAGGACCATGCAGATGTAGAAGCCCAGGGCGTTGTCACGACCCTCGGGGTGGGGACTGCTGCTGTGCCCAGAAGTCTCCCTTTTCCAGGACCGGAAATAAAAAATACACCTGCCAATGCAGGAGACTCAAGCTCAATCCCTGGGTCGGGAAGATTCCCTGGAGGCGGAAAAGGCAACCCACACCAGTATTCCTGCCTGGAGAATCCCCATGGACAGAGGAGCCCGGCGGGCTACGGTCTACAGGGTTGCAAAGAGTCAGACATGACTGAGCAACTGATCACATATATACGCAGCAAGTGCAGCAATGACGCTGAACCAGCAGCTCTTGGGGCTGGGGGAGGGGACCCTGGCAGGGCCAGGCTCTGAGCCCCCCTCCCCAGGACGTGGCCTTAGATGTGTATGACCTCCTGAGTTTCCACGTGAGTTCACTGCGGTGAAAGCTGCACCACCATCACAGCAGCGATGGGACCCCTGGTCTGGTCCCGCCTCCTCATTTTGCAAAACAGGAAACAGGCACAGAGGGGTGGGGGCTTGTTCCAAGTTGCAGGGCCTGTCAGTGTGGTGGACTGAGGGCCGGAGAGGGGATGAAGGGGTGGGAGAGACCAAGCCTCTGGGGAACACAGCCCATGTCAGAGCTCCGCAGACAGGCAGGCGGCGACTTCGCAGCTGCGTGTGGCCCTGGGACAGTTTCTCACTTCTCAGAGCCTCAGCCTCCACGTCTAGACAAGGCAGTGGCATTGGCATCCACTCAATCCTTCGTGGCATCACACTCGGCCTCGCGGTGCTCAGGAGCAGGTCAGGGAGAAGGAAGGTGGGAAGTGATGACCGTGGTACAGTGATGAACCACGTGGGACAGGTGCTGGCGTCCTGCCTGTCTCTCTGCTTCTCACCCTTCCCTGTGTCCCCACCTGGCTGAGAATGCCCACAAAATCTGCAGGGCCTCGGGGTCACAGTTCCAGCACCTCCGTGGCTCACAGGGGCCTGTTCACCTACAGCAGCATCCTCCCAATCCTTCAGGGCACCCCAAGAGGGGCGCAGGAGACCAGACTGGGTCCCCTGGGGTGTCCATGGCCCCAGGGCCCCCAACCTGCTGGAAGAGGGGCCAGCAAGCCCCTTTCCCATGCCAAGTCAGACCAATTCAGATCTGTACAGTGGCCACCACCCCTCCTTTTGACCCTCCTGTCCCCACAACAGCCGAAGGGGTGGGAAAACTGAGCCCAGAGAGATGAAATAATGATATGATCAACGGTGGACACGTGTCAAGCCCCGTGCCCGGCCCTCTGATAAGCCCTTTATACTGTTCACACACTCAGGCCTCACCAGGCTAAATCCCAGAGAAGGGGCACCTGTTCAAGGTCACATAGCCAGGAAGTGCCAGAGCTGGATTTGAACCCATGTCATTCTGACTCCAAACCCCGGCTCTCATGACCCTCATGAATCTTTCTGCTGTACCCTCTGCACTCTTTGTTCTGACCTTGGGATGGCAGGACCCTCTAATGAGGAGCTGGCGAGGTGCGGGTGGGTCACTGACCTGGCTTGGCACCCCAGCTTTGCTCTCCTTGTCCCCCACCCCGGTGAATCTCTTGTCCATCTCTTGTTGGGACCCAGCCCAGCCCGCCCAAGACTGAGTGCTTTTCATCCTGGGACCTGCCACTGACTACTTCTCACATCCTCTGGGTGAAGAATGTCACCTTGCTTCCTATCTGCCCCGTGGTTGGCTGGGGAGGGGACCTGGGGCGTGGGGTGAGGTTAACCTCATTGTTGTCTTATATGGTCATTTAAATCTCCCAGGGCTTCCTCCAAGGGCCAAAAATAATCTGGAGACACAGCAGCTGCGTCCAGACACAGGGAGGACCCGGCCATCTGCTTTGGTTCAGAGCCCTGTATCTGTCTGTCAGTCTCCCCCTCACTCTCCCTCCATCCTCGTTCCTGCCTCCGGCCATGACCCGCTTCTCATACGCGGAATACTTTTCCCTCTTTCACTTCTGCCCTGCACCCTCCAGGTCCGCTGTGTCTCCTGAGAGCGCCCCGACCTCAGCCCCCAAGGGCCTGTTCCAGGAGGTTATGCAGAAATACAACCGCAGCAAGTCCTCCCAGCTGGCGTAAGTGCCCCCCGCCGTGGCCCTCAGACCATCCAAGCTCACCCTCCTCCAGATGGGTTGGGGGTGGAAGGCAGGCCCACGGGCCCCAGGAAGGGACCCCCCCAGACACACACCTCTTCCAGGTATGTCCCCCTGAGACTCAGAGGCTCCAGCCAAGCCGGGCTTGGTGGTCACAGACTCTATCCTTAAGGAACTGCCAGCCAGGCTGAGCTTGTGATTAACCCCTCAGTGCGCCCCTGCCTCAAATGGGCCCTGTGTACTGGATTCACCCCACAGGGCTCTGAACCTGGGGACCCAGCGAGAGGGAGATTGGGGGGATGGCCCCAGGACCACAGAGGCTCAGAGCTGAGACTGATGAATCAGCTGCTCATCTGTCTCACTTTCCCCCTGCCATCAGCGTGGGTCTGTCTGAGCACATCCACAAAGCCCATACCCACAAGTTTGGTTTTGCTTTGTTGCTTTTATTTATTAAGCGCCAGGTGCTAAAACAGAGGAACAATCCGAGCTGCAAGAGGGGCTGTTTGCCTAGTCCTAGGATGCTGGGCTAGGTGTGTCCTTGAAAATAGCTCTGTGCTAGTTCTGTCTCTGCTCCCCCATATCGACCCTAGAAGCAGCTAAAAGCCAAAAAGGGTCCCATCGCTGGAGCCCCTGTATCCTTCATCAGTTACATTGTGGGGGGAGGTGACTGGTCAGTGTTTTACTTCTTCTCAGCCCTTCGCAAGCCCTGCCACCCCGCCTCTCTCTTGGTGCTGCAGGTAGGGTTTTGATCGTCTCGAAGAGCGAGACCCAGCTTCTGGTCTCTGCTTTGCTCCCACTTCCTGTGCAACTGTCCACGAGTCGCGGTCCCTCTCTGAGTCTCCGTCCTGTGTTAGGACAGAGTGGCCTCCAGGGTCCTTGTGGCTCCTTAGTCTCTGATGGCCTGACACCCCAGCAGCTCGCCCCACCCTCGAGGCGGGCACTCTGGCTGAGCTCACAGACAAACCAGCGGTGTGTGCGCCTGAGCGCTCCACGGTCCTTGCACCACAGCTGGACGAGATCCAAGCTGGGCGGCGGGTCCTGAGAGTGTTATCATGACACCACACACCACCACGGCCACAAGAACAGCCTGCCCTCATCCCTTCCACTTCAGCCGGGTCCCACAGGAGACTTTCCGGGGGAGACGGGACACCTACCCCACCGGGGCCTTTCCTGACACCAACAGGGGCTGCTCTGGCCGCTTGTAAGAGGAGCTCATCAAGGTGGCAGTGATGGCGTTGATGGGGACTCCAGGGCTTATCTGGTCAGTTACCCATCGTCCTTGCTGGATCTGTAACTTAACCGGCATCTGGGCTCTGAAGCTATTAATAACCAGAGAGGCTGAGAGCCGGGAGGAAGTGCTGCTCTCGCCGGAGGAAGCAGCTGGGAGGGTGAAGGGGCTGGCCCTGCAGACACTCTGGGCCTATCCCGGCCCCTGACAGGGATGACGGTCCTGGGACAAGGCTGGCCTCTGGTCTCACCTCCATCCAGGAGATGGGAACATATATGCAGCATGTTTCCCAAGGGTGGAACCATAGCAGTCCTGGTCCTCATTGACTCTCCAAGGATGGAGGAAGCCAGCTCAGAGAATGAATGAATGAACGAATAAAGTGGCTTGGATGAGTCAAGCTAAGAAGTTATCTTTCACCTTAGCCCTGGAATCTTTGACATTCACAAGTTTTAAATTGTGAAGGCTTCAGATGTATTAGTCCTCCAGGCATTTAAATCTTTTAGCAGCTAAAAGTTCTGGGGGTGAGGAGAAGGATCTGGAGTAAGGAAAAGGGTTGGGAAGACCCCAGAGAGATGCTCACTATGAATAGTCCCACTCTGAGGGGTCTGTGCCTTCGTCTCAGTGCAAATAGGCCCTAAGATGAAGGCATTTGGTAAACTCTGGAGCGCTATGTGCAGGGAAGGTGTTTAATTATCATTAAAAACTCCCACAGGGCTGGTTATCCGTCACTTTGGAGGCCAGCGCTGGATGCCCGAATCCTCTGGTATAATGGTCTTGGTGCAGCAGCCGCAGGCACTGAAAGCGGCAGGGACAGAGGGGTGCGGCAGTGAATGAGCTTGCCATGTTTCTAGTAGTTTCCCCCTGTGGTACCCAACTCAGAGGTAAAGATGTAGAAACGCTCCAAGTTCAGGGGGCTCACAAGGGTATGGAACACAGGCGAGGCCTGATCCAGAGCTCCCCATATTTATTTTCATAGGTTGATTTGCCTCCAAATACGGCGTTCCCGATAGCCAGTTGATAGAGAATCTGCCTGCAATGCAGGAGACCCCGGTTAGATTCCTGGGTTGGGAAGGCCCCCTGGAGAAAGGAGAGGCTGCCCACTCCAGTATCCTTGGACTTCCCTTGTGGCTCAGCTGGTAAAGAATCTGCCTGCAATGCGGGAGACCTGGGTTTGATCCCTGGGTCGGGAAGATCCCCTGGAGAAGGGGATCTTATACCCTTCTTATACCCACGCCAGTATTCTAGCCTGGAGAATTCCATGGACTATGTGATCCACGGGGTTGCAAACAGTCAGACATGACTGAGCGACTTTCACTTTCATGCCTCCAAATGCTCAGAGGAAATCACTGCAAAGTTGTTTTGAATGAGATGCGAATAAAATTCCCAAAGAAACAAGCAAAAGTCTAACAGGGAAGAAACTGTTTTTTGGGAAATAGAAGAGATGAAGGAGTGAAAGAATTAGGGGTTTGTTTTGTTGGGTTGGTTTTTCGTTAGTTTGCTTGGTGAGATTTTAGTTCCCTGAACAATGACTGAACCTGTGTCCCTTGCAGTGGAAGGGCAGAGCACTAACCACTGGACCCTAGAGAATTCCCTGTTACGGTTCTTAAGTTCTGAATTCTTCCTCCTCCCTCACTCCCTTCCTTCTATATTCTTTCTTGCTCTTTCTTTCAAGCAGCAAATATTTATTAAGCACCTGTTATGGACCAGCTGCTGAACTGGGCCCTGGGAATCAAATCATGAGGGATAAAAGAAAGACACAGGCCCTATGGTCTTGAAGCTCACAGTCCAGTGAAGGAGACAGAGAGATGGTGGGCGAATGATCAAAGACATGTAAAGGCCAGTGATGAGTCGACGGCTTATGACCGGAGGCAGGGAGAGGCTGACACGGGCGGGCAGGCCAAGGAAGCCGTGATGGGGCTGAGAGATGGAGGGGCCAAGGTCAGGCCTGAGGTCGGGGCAGGCTTCCCAGGGCTTGCCCGTGGGGGTTAGGAAGGATTATTCTGCTGATCGAGAGGACACGGCTGCAGGGGCTGAGCACCTGTCCCAGAGCAGCGGGGACAAGCAGGACTGTGTGATCCCACGGCCAACCCTGCTCCCGGCCCTGCCTCCGTCTGCCCCGGTCCTGAGGAATGACCTGCCCCTTGCTCTGACAGGCCCGTGGACCCTGTGCTAAAGGCCATCAAGGAAGGCGATGAAGAGGCCTTGACGGCTATGATCAAGGCGGGCAAGAACCTCTCAGAACCCAACAAGGAGGGCTGGCTGCCGCTGCATGAGGCGGCCTACTACGGCCAGCTGAACTGCCTGAAGGCCCTGCACCGAGGTGAGGCGGTGGGTCGGGCTGGCGGCCACAGGTGGGACTGGGCCCCATGGGTGGTGGCACTTTCCTTCTGGAGCTTTGGCCCACGACAACCGTGGTCACCGGGGGCAAGGCCAAGGTACCACCCCGCCTTGCAGAGTTAAAGTCAGCACGTTGGAAGGGAGGACGTGACGTGTGCCCTGCCTCCCCAACTGCGCCCTTCCCACCCCATCCTGCCACCTCTCCAGCCCTCCAGGACAGGAGAGTCTAATTCCTAGAAGAGGATTGAGGGAGGGCTGACTTCTCAGAGTGCCACTGCCAGCTTGTCCCAGAATGTTCCAGGGGTTGATCTGGTGTGGAAAATACCGCAGCTGTGCCTGGGCCTTGCCAAGGCCGTCTCCAACAGCTGTGAGATCCTGGGCAACTCATGCCTCCTCTCTGGAGCCTTGACTTTCCCCCAGGCTAGATGTGGGTGGGGAACACCTGCAGGCAGGACCTACCTATGCCCTTGGGGGTCCAGAAAGGGACCCCAGGTAGCCCACCACATGCCAGGGCAGAAAGAGCGGCAGTGGCTGGTGGGAGTGTGAGGGAAGGTTGGGTTCATTCGGAGAAGGAAGGGATTCAATCAGGGAAGGCTTCCCAGAGGAGGTGGCATCTGAGCTGGATTAATATGACTGGGAAGCTGAAACAGCCCTGTTGAAAGTGGCTGAATACAGGACCAAGAGGAAGAAGGCAGTCTGGATGGTAAATTCAGGCAGAGGCCACACGTGTCTGTCCTCAGAATGGGAGGAAATCAGGACCAACTCTGTGCTGGAGGGAGAGATGGGTATCTTCCTTCTTCACGAATTTCCTGGTCTGTCCTCCACAGCGTACCCGGCAGTCATCGACCAGCGCACCCTGCAGGAGGAAACGGCCCTTTACCTGGCGACCTGCAGGGGACATGTGGACTGCCTCCAGTTTCTGCTCCAGGCTGGCGCTGAGCCTGACATCTCCAACAAGTCCCGAGAGACACCGCTCTACAAAGGTGAGCCCAGGGGCGTGGGCTTCCCCCAGGTAAGGTCCAGAGACTGAATGGGCTATCAGGAGGATTTGCTTGCAAAGTGTACAACCCTCCCCACCAGGGTCTATTGTGATGGTACAGCCTCGTTCAGGTGTATAACTACATAACTGAACCATTCATTCGTGCATGTATTCAGGCAATATTTCCCAAGTTCTCCCATGGGCCTGGCATACTGAGGACTCAGAGATGAAAAGATATGGTCCATGCCCGTGTGATCGTCCAGTCTGGTAGACGCTGATTCACAGACGATATACACTGATTCTCAGTCAGCTACTGGCAATGAAGAGCGTGACATGAGGGAGCATGGAGGAGGGACTGGGATGTGGGGAGGGCACCCCCACAGGAGGGGGGTCCGAGAGCTGAGCCTGAACAAGAGGGATTCACCGGCTGGACAATCAAGGGGAAAAGCATAGCAAAAGTGAAGAGGCATGAGAGGGAATTTGTTGCTCCTGGATTTTTGAGAAAATGAAAACCTCTAATTTACTCACCATGTCATCCAAGGACAGTCACTGGCTGCCCTAGCAGTGCCGAGTCAAAATCCAAATAATCATAACAGCTGGCAATTATCAAGTGTTTACTATACACCAGGCTCTGTTCTTTTTTTCTAACCCTCACATCCATCCACAGATGAAGCAAGCACTGCTAGCTTCCCCAGTTCACAGATGAAGGCTTCAGGAACAGAGATCAGACAGGAGGCCCCCAGGATCACACAGCCAGGAAGGGCAGACCTGGGATCTAACTCTGAGGGCTGGATGCCAGCATCACGCTCTGAACTACTCCACTCTTGAGTGTCTAGTTCATGCCTACGCCTCTAAACAATCAGCTTCAGGTCTTGCATAAAGGACAGGAGCTCTACACTCTGAAAAACTACAGAAATTCCCAATTTCCCGTGTGGCTGGTCTCCAGCTCCTGGAATATCCCATCGGCAGCAGGAACCGGGTCCATTGTAGACCTGCGGTGGAAGTGTCTCCTTTAGAACTCATGTCCCCCTGGGCACCGGAGCCATCACGCAGAACCCCAGCTGACCCAGAGAGAGCTCCCAGACACTGAGTGACTCACAGCTGAAGCCTGAGCCCTGATCCTGCATGAGCTCCACCCCAGAGCCTTCGTACCTTGCCCCACTCCACTCTCCCACAGCATCCTCTCGGGAAGGTTTCGTCACCTGTGCTTTACAGGTGAACAGCCCAAGGCTTAGAGAAGCCGTGAGCTTTGCTGAGGGTCCTGTTTGAAAGGCTGCACAGGCAGCCCCTCTTCCTTCTTGTGTATGCATGCTCAGTCTCTCAATCGTGTCTGATTCTTTGCGACCCCATGGACTGTCACCCACCAGGCCCATGGGATTTCCCAGGCAAGAATACTGGAGTGGGCTGCCATTCGCTACTTCAGGGAATCTTCCCAACCCAGGGATCAAACCTGTGTCTCCTGCGTCTGTGGGCAGATTCTTTATCACTGAGCTACCTGGGAAGCCCCCCTTCCTTCTCCCCTCCTCCCTAACTGAGGAAGCTTCCAGGGGTGGTTAATTTGGACAAGTTCTCAGTCTCCCTTGGAATAGCTCTGCCAGCACTAAGGCTACATTTAGAGTCCAGAGCCAGATAAGGCTTAAAAGGGAGGTTTGAGCGGTTGAGAAAGACTTGATGAGCTGCACCCAGAAGACAAATTTTAACTGAGTAGGCTTTGAGGAAGTGTTTTGAGCAGATATATGACACTGCCCTCCTCTTCTTCTGGCCTCGCGGAGGACTGAAGCAGGTAACACTGGAAAGGGAGATGAGTTAGGAGCATTCTGGAACCTTCCAGGGGACAGAGATTCCAGACCTGATTACCTGGATTTGAATCCCAGTTCTGTCACTTACTGTGTGACCCTGCGCAAGTCACTTAACTCCTCTGTACCTCACTGTCCTCCTCTGTGAAAAGGGATAACACAACATCCTTTAAGGGTATTTGGGAGAACTAAATTAATCACATGAAATGCTTAGAATAGAGTGCATGTGCATAAACGGTGCTATACACACATCTGGATATTACTGCTGATTACCATTACTTTAGTTGCATATCCTAGGTTTAGTGAAGGGATGGAACTTACTGCAAACTCAGGAGATATTTGTTGTGTGAATTCACTTCTGGCTGATGAATGAATGGTTGGATGGACAAATGAATGAATGAAGGCGCAGCTGACCAGGTCCTGCCAGGGGCCCCGCTGACCATCTTGCTTCTTGCTGGGCACAGCCTGTGAGCGCAAGAACGTGGAGGCAGTGAGGATTCTGGTGCAGTACAAGGCGGACACCAACCACCGCTGTAACCGAGGCTGGACGGCTCTGCATGAGTCTGTTGCTCGCAATGACCTGGAGGTCATGGAGATCCTGGTGAGCGGAGGCGCCAAGGTGGAAGCCAAGAATGCCTATGGCATCACCCCCTTGTTTGTGGCCGCCCAGAGTGGGCAGCTGGAGGCACTGAGATTCCTGGCCAAACACCGTGAGTACTAAGGGTACCTGGGTCATGGAGTTCCCAAGAGGACCTCAGATTAAGTCTAAGGGAAAGCAAGTTTAGGTGTCATCTATGGACATACTCTGATTGAGTGACAGCATCTTCTGGGAGTGTTGTGTTAAGAAGGATTCTGAGGTTGTGCCTAGGCTCAGCTGGAAACAAGTTGAGATCCACTAGCAGGGCCTGCAATTAGGCACACACTTGGAGGGGCGTGGTACACGTGCCCCGTGTTAGCCTTCTCTCACCTGGTCCAACATCCTCATTTATAAAATGAGGAATCTGAGGCCCAGAAAGAGGAAGTGACTAATCTATCTATAGTCACGCAGCAAATTACTTACAGACTAGCCAGAATCTTAGCCTCCCAACATCCCAACAACTTCTCTTTCTATCACATCACCCTTCAGGGCCAGAAGGAACTTCAGACAACATTTAGGTCACCTCCTCACTCTATATGGAGAAGGAAATGACAACCCACTCCAGTATTCTTGCTTGAAAATCCCATGGACAGAGGAACCTGGCAGGCTACAGTCCATGGGGTTGCAAAAGAGTCAGACACAACTTCAGGACTAAAGAACAACAGCCCATTTTATAACAACCAAAGGCCAGGATGGGAAAGTGATTCGTCCAAGGTCACACAACAAATTAGTGGCAGAACTGGCATTTAGACCCTGGTCTTTGGACTCTTTGCCTCTTAAAAATCTTTGTTCACTTAATGGGATAAAATAAAACAATATTGCCTGAATTATTACATCCCAGTAACAGAAGACTCCAAGACAATGACAGATGTTCTTTTGGTTAAAAAGGTCATAATATTCTGATTTTCCCCAAGAACTCTTTTGATTTCTCTTCTCACTCCTATGGGAAGTGACCTTTCTGCTAGAGACAGACACCAGAAGCAAGCCGGACCTGGGGACTGAGCTGAAATAATCTTTCAAGGACCTGCTGTGTGACAGGCACTGAGCTAGGCGTGAACACAGAATAGGCCCATGGGGTTTTCTCTGTAGCCTAGAAGGTAGGGAGTGGAGGAGACTGAGGCTCAGAGAGATTAAATGATTGGACACAATCAAAGTCTGGATTCTGACTGCCATCATCTGATCCCAAACTGCATGCTCTTTGCACTCCACCATACCGCTCCAGGGCTCGAGAATTTCCATCCTGGGACTTGGCCTGAATAAGCATCCATTTACTCAGCACGTGCCCAAGCTGTTGGGAAAACAGACCCAGGGCACATCCTTGCCGCTGGGGACAAATCTGGACTGACCAGCCAGAGGCCGAAGAGCAGAGGAAGGGTCCTGGGAGCCAGGCAAGGAGGCTGGACAAAGGGCCAAGGGCTCAGCGGGTGAGAGGAACAGCCTAGCACTGAACATCTGCCCAGCTCTCCTGCTGATGCCCTGAGTCAGAGTCTGTTCCCACTGCGGGCTGAGTCCATTTGCAAATCCAAATATTTTTCTTGAGTGAGCGGGCGGCTTTGCTGGCGGGAGTCCAGGCTTTCAGGGAGCAAGTCTTCCAGAGCTCAGGGGTGTTGGAGCCTCCCGCCAACTCTCCCTCGGGTGGAGGCAGGAGCAGTGTCTGCATCCCAGCCCCTTAGTCCTCGGGAGCTTGTATTTGCTGAGCACCCTCTCTGTGCCAGCCTCCAGGTAGGGAGGTTGCCTTAATCCCCTCACGTGGCTGTCACAGAACACCACAGACTGGATGGCTTAGAGGCAACAGAGGTTTATTTCCCACAGTTTTGGAGGCTGGGAAGTCCAGGATCAAGGTGCTGTTGGACTCAGCGTCCCATGAGAGCCTGTTTCTACCTCCTAGACATCCATCTTCTTGTTGTGTCCTCATATGGTGGAAGGGGCAAGGGAGCACTCTGGTCTCTTCTATTAGGGCACTAATCCCATTGATGGGGGCTCCACCCACATAACCTAATCACCCCCAAAGGCTCTACCTCCCAACACCATCACACTGAGGATTAGGTTACAAATGAATCTGGAGCGGGGGGGACATACATATTTTTGTCTATAGCAGATATTTAATTCTATTATCTTACATAGATAACCTCACAGTAACTCTGGTTGCTAGGTACTATTTTTCTCAGTCAACAGATGAGAAAACTGAGGTTCCTAAACGCTGTTTGAGGCCATGGAGCTTGTAAAGCCTGAAGCAGAAACTTCAGCTGCTGTCTGTCATGAAAACCTGTGATATTTCCACGAGACCAGAAACCAGTCATCAAATATTAAAATTACCAGAGAGCTTGTGATAAGCTGACTGCCCAGAGGGGATCTGTGGTTTAACAGATACTTCTGATTTCAGGCCTTGCTGATATTTCACTGCTATCTCAGTTCCATTTCCTATCAGAATAGGGGCTGGGGAACAGACTGCACTTCTCTCTGCAGAGAAACCCCTGCCTTCTCTCTCCATCACCACCAGGAGATGGAGCAGATGTAGGAGACTGGGCTGAAGGGAGACCATCACCAGATTGATGCCTCCTCCTGGCAGCATGGTGTAGTGTTTCTTTCAGAGGAGACAAGAAGCTATGCCTGTTAGTAAATCCTCTCTTAATCCTTGAAATGGAAGGCATGCTGCATGCATGTTCAGTCACTTCACTCGTCTCCAGTTCTTTGGGACCCCATGGACTGTAGCCCACCAGGTTCCTCTGTCCATGGGAGTCTCCAGGCAAGAATACTGGGGTGGGTTTCCATGCCCTACTCCAGGGGATCTTCCCCACCCAGGGACTGAACCCAGATCTCCCACATTGCAGGCGGATTCTTTACCATCTGAGCCACCAGGCAGAGAAGAGCAAATAAATCCTAATTAATAAAGTTGTTGGGAGTTTTCTTTATGAGGAGGCTCTATGCCCTCTTAGAATTGTGAGGGCCTTCCTCAGGGCAGGATCTGGATCACTGTAGGTGGAACGAGTGTTTGGAGCATTGTCTCTGCCATCAGAACATCTGCCAGGGCTTCTGCCATCAGACTATCTGGGTTCACGTTTTGGCTCTTCCTTTATGAGCTGCGGGATCTGGGGCCAGTTGCAGAGGTTCTCTGTAATTTAATGCAAGAGACATAAGAGATGCAGGTTGAATCACTGGGTCAGGAAGATCCCCTGGAAGAGGGCATGGCAAGCCACTCCAGTATTCTTGCTTGGAGAATCCCATGGACAGAGGAGCCAGGCAGGCTACAGTCCATAGGGTCAGAAAGAGTTGGACATGACTGAAGCGCCTTAGCACACACATACACATGCGTGCTTCAGTGTTCTTGTCTGTAACATGGAGATAAAGTTGTTACTGATGGCATGGGGTTAGGATATGTTGTGGACTCAAAGAGACAGCACATGAACAGCTCCATGTTGTGTCTTAGCCGCTCAGTTCTGTCTGACTCTTTGTGACACTATGGACCATTGCCTGCCAGGCTCCATTATCCATGGAATTCCCCAGGCAAGAATACTGGAGTGGGTTGCCATTCCCTTCTTCAGGGGATCTTCCCCACCCGGGTCTCCTGAATTGCAGGCAAATTGTTTACCAAATAAGAGAAGGCCCAGCATAGAGCAAATGGTCTGTAAACCCCAGCATCACTATGACAGTTCAGGCTGGCGGCCCGGGGCCTCAGTGTAGCAGAAAGGAGCTGGGGGTCCTCCGGGTGATCCAATGTGTCCGGGTGGTTACGGTAGCAGCGCCCAGCCCGAGGTGGGCGTTACATCAAGGACAGTGACCAGCCTGATCACTCACCGATCCTCCTCTCCTTCTCCAGGCGCTGACATCAACACACAGGCCAGTGACAGCGCGTCCGCCCTCTACGAGGCCTGCAAGAATGGGCACGAGGAGGTGGTGGAGTTCCTGCTGTCACAGGGAGCGGACGCCAATAAGACCAACAAGGACGGCATGCTCCCGCTGCACATCGCCTCCAAGAAGGGTAACTACAGGTCAGCCCAGGCCCCGCCCCCAGGCCCCGCGCTCCTCCCCCTTCCCCACCCATTCCTCTGAATGCCCCGCCCACACTGGGGGTAGGAAGGTTCCGGAGAGTTCAGGGCCAAGCGCACGTTTTAGGTGGAAAAATGGAACACCACCAAGCAGTTAGCAAGCTAGAGTGAACGCTTACAACAACGGCAACAACAATAATAGCAAACTCCTATGTGGCACTTATCAGCACTTTACATTGTAAACATATTTAATCCTTTTAACAACTCTACTTTTCATAATTCCATTAACAGATCTACTGAGGTAGATATGATTACCTTCTTTTTTTTTTCCAAAATGAGGAAGCTGAGACACAGAGAGGTTGAGTGACTTGCCCAAGATCACTCAGCTTGTAAATGACAGGTGCTCACTTGTTCCGAATCTTATGTCTACCAGATTCCACACAGGAAGCCAGATAGGAATCCAGACTAGGGGATATTTCTGTTGGAGATGCAAAAATAATCTCTCAGGCAGTAAGCAAGGATGCAGGGAACATCTACAATAATACAAATAGTACCATTGGTACTAGCTAGTTTTTGTTGAGCGCTTACTATGTGTTAGGTACTTTGAAAGAGATGAAAGAAGCTAAAGCTCTCGGGGAGCAGTCTGGTGGGAGAGAAGATGCATGCAGGCACATGCACACAGAAACACGCTCATGAAAATGAAAAAGCATGCAGGGCTGAGCTGCATGGTGGTCCTCAAGACTAGAACGGGCTGGAAGCAGAGGAGTGCTAGACCTGGCTTGTGCAACTTCTCTGAGCTGATATCACCTTGGTAGTCTGAAATTGGCCTTGGTGAGAGTATTTACTTCGTGGAAACTGGTGATTATAGAAATCAGAGCCCCCTCCTTCCCCTGAAGAGCAAGCTATTAAACTTACGCCAGCACCACCACTAGTTGGAGGGTCAGGAGAGCCTCGCCCAGGGGGTGGAACTCCAGCTAACCATGAACTATGCATAGGCCCAGTAATTTCCACTCAACCAGTGTTCCCTAAACTGAGCATTCACAGACTTTTTTCCTATTTTTAGATGTCTATACCTTCACTTCTTAGTATGGCCCCTTAAAGACATTTTTATTTTAAATGAATTTATTTTCAAAAGGAAACATCACATGATTAAATTGTTCAAGTTATCAATTTACAATTAATAGAAAAAACAAACCCTTCTCACCTATAATCCCATCTCCTGTATCCCAGATGACACACTTCAGGAAATGCAGCCCTGTCCCCATCAGGGAGAAGATTGTGCATGCTGGGGGGTGTGGGTGGTCTCCACTCAGGGAGATGGGGGTGAGAATGACACTCTGGGGAATGGAACGGAGGAGACACAGGAGACAGAGCTGACCCTCAGGGCTCCAGGCCCTGCTCTGCAGGTACTCACACAAATGGCCAGCCAAGGATGCCTCCCCGCCCCATCCATGCACGCAGGACACCTTGCCTTCTCTGGGATGCATAGCAGGCTATGAGGCAGACAGATGTGGGTTTGAATTCCTACTGAGGCCTTGGGGAAGTTGCTTAACCTTTCTGAGCCTCAATTCCCTCCTCTGTAAAATACGAAGTAGTCATACTGCCTGGGGGGCAGGGCTGTTGTGGGGACTAGTGAAATGGATACACGTGTGTATAGAGTAGAACTTTAGTTTAGTTCTACTGTATGCGCCCAGCAGAGTGCAGCATACAGCAGGTGCTCGCTGGGTCTGTGTTCTCTCTCCTGTAGAAAGGGTAAATTCCATCATTTTTCTGTGAAGCCAGTGGAAGGACAAAAGCAACTCAAGTCAGGCAGAGGTGACGGGCAAGAGAGCATCTTGCTCTTCAGTTCCAGAAAGATCCAGAAGCAGTCAACAAACATGGTTTATCTTGGTCTGACTCTAGAAAGACCCAGAGGGAAAGAGAAAGAAGTCCACTGGCTCTCCGAACCTGCCTATACGGCACGGTCACTCTGGGCTATTTTTTAAATGATGTCTCCCAGACACACAAAACCAGAATCTGCAGGAGAGAAGCAGCCCATGCCTTTATCTTTGAAGAGCTCCCAGCCAACCAGATACAGTCCAGTCAGACCTTTAGGGGGACCACTGATACAATCCAAGCCTGGTTTTGCAGAGGAGGGACCAGAGGTCAGAGATGGGAAGTGGCATGCCAGAGCGTGGCAGAGCTGGGAATGTCACTTGGCGTCCTTCAGTCATACCCAATGCCTTCAGATGGGCCCCGGTGCCAGCAGTCTGGCCCCAGCTGGTGGAAAGTTTGAAGGAGCACTGGGCGTGCCTAAGGCTGGCCAGGGAGCAAGGCTGGGCCTCTCTGGGACCAGCTATGTGAATGATGTATTCTCCCCAAAAGTCTCCTGCTTTAGACTCGTGCTGACCCCCAAAGCCATTTCTCTGGTTGTTCACCCTCCGTTCTCCAACCCCAGGTTCCTCTGGACCCCAAGAGTGAGAGGGACCAGGCCGCAGTTTCAGGGCTGCCCTACAAAGGGGTGAAACCAGGTTCCCAACAGCTTCTGTCACCTGTCAGGGCCCCTGGCCGGGCAAGGCCCCAGAGCTGCGCTCACCCGGGCTTGGCATCTGGCCTTCTCCATGCCATCCTTCCTTGCCTGCCCGGGGATCTGCTGTGACATTCTCTAGGCTTTCCACACTCAGCCGCCTGCCAGGACACCCTGCTCGTCCAGGGCACGGAAAGTGGCTCCAGCAGCTGGGGTCCATGTTTGCCAGATGGTGAATTTAGAGCATTTACTGCAGGGCGTGACATTTAGGTGTGGCTGCGAAAGAAGCCCCCAAGACCCCAAAGTCTTAGGCACCTCCAAGATAAACTTTTTTCTTAGTTTTCATTTCCAGTTTAGCAGAGGCAACTTTTCGGATTAAAACTCAGCACCAAGTGAAAGCAAGTGGTCACTCAGTCGTGTCCGACTCTTTGGGACCCCGTGGGCTGTGGCCCGCCAGGCTCCTCCGTCCATGGGATCCTCCAGGCGAGAATACTGGAGTGGGTTGCCATTTCCTTCTCTAGGGGATCTTCCTGACCCAGGAATCGAACCCAGGTCTCCCACACTGCAGGCAGACTCTTTACCATCTGAGCCACCAGGGAAGCTAGCACCAAAGATAGATTTATTAAGAAACTGTTGGTATTAGAGAAGAGCAGATGGCCCAAGTTCCTTTAAACTGAATTTAGAATCGCACTGCAGCCACTGGTTCTCAACTTTGACTACAGATTGGATCCCCAGCAAACTCTTAAACCCCTGAGGCTTGGGCCCCAGCCTCAGAGGTCTTGTAAGCAGTCTGGGTTGGGGCTGGGGCTGCAGAAGATTTTATGAGGCATCCCAGGGGAGAACCAGTACTTTAGACTCAATTTTGTGGCTGACATATAACACTGACTTGCCTTTGGACCTTACTTCTGGCCCCATCATTTTTAAATATACTTTCCCTTTTACTTCTAATTAATATTACCTTTGCAAGCCCCTTAAAACTCTTTCTGGGAAAACTGCTTCCCTGCTCTAGCTCCCGGGAAAAAAGCTGTAGACTTCTTCCCAGAGGGACCCTCATGGGCAGAAGTTCCACTGTGCCCTTGGGGACGCCCTCAGGCAGATTCTCCTCTGTGGAGTCTTTTCTGGCTCCACACAGCCTCAGAGGAGAGAGAATCCCCTCAACACACACACACACACACACACACACACACACACACACTCACGCACGCACACACACACACGCATGCACAGCTGGGTTGACACATCGCTGCCCAATGTTACTGGGAGCAGAGCCATTTGTGGGCATCTGGTTCCCTTGTAAAAGTCAAGTCCATGGTCAAATTTACGCTGAATACTGGCAAAGGTCACACCACCGTGACCTGGTGACCCAGGAGGCTGAGCTGGTGGGTGCAGCCTCCGTGCTGGGAAAAGAAGAAGAGGCAGATGGGACACTGGGCCTCTCAGACACCAAAACTTGTACCAGGCAACGGGCACCTTTGCTCTCCACTTAAGTTGCATTTTGAGCTCCTATGGTCCCAGGACCTGCCTGTGGGAGAAGTGGGAAGGTCCCAGCCTTCATCCTCTTGCCTTCTTCCCACCAGCTGGGCTGGGGGAGAGGAATGATGACGTGCAGTGGGGCCATCAACACCTTCATTCTGCCTGGGCTTTGCCATCCACCCCCAGGCCAACCTCACTCTCTCCTCCCTCCATCCCCACATTCGGGTCTCAGTTTCACCCTCTGTAAAATGGGAAGCTGATCTCCAGGCCCCACGCAGCATGACACGTTGACTCTCAGCTTGGCCACGTCCTCCAGAAGTGTACAACAATTAGATGATTTCACTGCTATTAAGATGATGCTTCTGGGACCTAGGCTGCCTCCAGTCACGTTCCCACATTTCTGCCACTTTCCCTTGATTCGACAGGGGGCCACTGGAGACCAGCTGTGACCTGCCAGATATGAGCCCATCTGGCCAGCGGCCCCGGGCTGTCCCCCTTGCTGTTTTTCCCGTGGTTGGGCACGTTACGGCTGTTACAGAGCATTTGTCAGCGATGGCTGCGGTCCAGGGTGAGGCCCCGACCCCGCCTTTGACCAGCACCTCTACAGAGCGAGGTCAGGCCTCCTAAGCCTGCACAAATAGAAATTAGGAGGCAATTAGCCCCCCTGGGTGTGTGAATTTCCTTTTGAGGTTTGAGAGGCAGATTTTAAGCAAACACAGCATCACTAACCATTAATAATACTTTCCACCGAGATCCTAACGGGAGATCCCTGGCATCAGATTTCCAGGAAGCCAGACGCCCGGGGAGCCCAAGTGCCAAGAGGCAGAGAGGCTTGGAAACAGGCTTGGTGCACCTGCTTGCCCTGCTGTGGTCACCTCCTCGAAGCCCACCTGAGGTCACCGGTCAGCAGGGATTGGGGGAATTAGGGTCTGGAATCATGTCAGTGGCAAGAGCTTGGCAGGTGGCAGGGCTTTAGGGGAACAGAGCAAACACAAGAGGTCAGGAGTCCTGGGGTCAAGCCCCAGAATGGCTTTATGGCCTTTGATCAGTCGCTTCATCTCTCTGAACCCCCTCTGTTACAAAGAAGGCCAACAGACACAGTTGGACAGCCCCACTGGGATGCAGTGAAGGTAAAATGGGTCAGGCAAGTTAATGCATTGTAAGGAATTCAAAGCCCTGTGACATAGCAGCTGTCACCTGACCACCAGCCACACAAGAAGTAGGGGAGTGGCTAAGAGTGTGCCTCTCACTCTAGGACAAGGGTCCCCAGCCTCCAGGATCTACTGCCTGGTGATCTGAGATGGAGCTGATGCAGTAACAATAGAAATAAAGTGCACAATAAATAGAATACGCTTGAATCATTCTGAAACCAACCCCTCCATCCCCAGTCCATGGAAAAACTGTCTTCCATGAAGCTAGTCCCTGGTGCCAAAAAAGTTGGGGACTGCTGCGCTAGGGATAATCAGACTACCTGGGTCCAAATCCTGCCTCCATCACCTACTACTGGCTGTGTGTCCCAGGGCAAGTCACTTACCCTCTCTGGGCTTCTGTTTCCTCATCTGTAAGTGAGATTAATACTAGTACACACCTCATAGGGCTGTTGGGAGGATGATTATAATAGATTACTGTAGGTTGACCCCTGAGAACAGCACCTGATTCAACAGGAGAGACCACAGTCAGGACTGGCAGGAATCTCCAGCCTCAGCCACAGCTGATCACCCTCTCCAGGCCATAGGCAGGGCAGCCTGCCTGGGAGAGGCTAGAATCAGCCTTCAGGGGAAGAGGCATTGAGACTCACAAGACAGGGGAGGCGACCTCATGGTCACGGAGGGCTGACCGGGGCCTGGGGCAGGAGTGGTTGGGACAGACACGTGTGTCCCCTCCTGTTCCCCCAGAACCTGGTGGCTCCCCCAAGTCCTCGGGGCAGCAAAACAGAGATACAGCATAGCTCGGCCCTGGAGTCAGAGGAGGGGACAAGTCCTGGTTTGTGTCTCCCAACATATGGCCTGGGCAATCCCCTAACATCACTGAGCATTGATTTTTCTCATCTGAAAAAAACTGGGAATGACGAGACATACTTTATGGGCTGTTGTGGAGATTAAACCAAATAATGCTTTAAGCCTTTGGATGGTGTCCGGGCACATAGTGAGCCCTTGGATAGGGCTGTCCTCGCCCCCCAAGCCCCCACAGACCTAGGCAGGGCAGGGTCTAGCACCACTTCATCATATTTTCCCACTCTAGGTCTGGGGGCCTTCCAGTCAATTCCTTTAGAAAACTGAGCTGGAAGTGGGCAATCCCCCTTAGCCTGAAAGAAGTCAGCAAGAGATTCTTGAAACTGCAGTCCGGTCTGGCTGAGGCTTTTAAAGAGCTCAGACTTTGGAGGCTTGTGGCTCAGCTGGTAAAGAATCCGCCTGCAGTGTGGGATACCTGGGTTCGAGCCCTGGGTTGGGAAGATCCCCTGGAGACGGGAAAGACTACTCACTCCAGTTATTCTGGCCTGGAGAATTCCATGGACTTTATAGTCCATGGGGTAGCAAAAGAGTCGGACACGACTGAGCGACTTTCACTTCGCACTAACTTTAGGGGTTCTGGGTTTGAAGCCCAGCTCCACTCGTTACCGGCTCTGAGGTTTTGAGAACGTGGTGGAAGCTCTCTGGGCCTCAGTTTCCCTATCTGTAAAGCGGACCCCCTCTCCCTCGAGTGGTAATTGTTGAGCCTGGCCGTCTCCACGGCGCCCCCTGCTGGTGGGCCCTGCCGCCCCCACGCAGTGGTTGCGAGCGGCCGAGCCTGGGCCCCCTCGGCGCCCCCTGCCGGCGGATCAGGTGCCGTGACCCGCGCGTGCCCGCCTCGCCCGCAGGATCGTGCAGATGCTGCTGCCGGTGACCAGCCGCACGCGCGTGCGCCGCAGCGGCATCAGCCCGCTGCACCTGGCGGCCGAGCGCAACAACGACGAGGTGCTCGAGGCCCTGCTTGGGGCGCGCTTCGACGTGAACGCGCCGCTGGCGCCCGAGCGCGCGCGCCTGTACGAGGACCGGCGCAGCTCGGCGCTCTACTTTGCGGTGGTCAACAATAACGTGTACGCCACCGAGCTGCTGCTGCTGGCCGGCGCCGACCCCAACCGCGACGTCATCAGCCCCCTGCTCGTGGCCATCCGACACGGCTGCCTGCGCACCATGCAGCTGTTGCTGGACCACGGCGCCAACATCGACGCCTACATCGCCACGCACCCCACCGCCTTCCCCGCCACCATCATGTTCGCCATGAAGTGCTTGTCGCTGCTCAAGTTCCTCATGGACCTCGGCTGCAACGGCGAGCCCTGCTTCTCCTGCCTCTATGGCAACGGCCCGCACCCGCCCGCCCCGCCGCCCTCCAACAGGTTCAACGATGCGCCCGCCTCGGACAAGGCGCCCAGCGCGGTCCAGGTAAGGGGGCGCGCCGCGGGGACTGCGGCCGGGGCCAGCGGGCTGCCGAGGCTGGGGGCACTGGTGGTTCGCCAGCGCTGGAGGCAGGGCGGACCCTCGGCAGGGTGGACCGCACTTTGGGAGGCAGCTGGAGACGGTGGTGAACAGGATTCGGAGGCAGTGTGGACTAACGGTTAGTGCACTTTGGAGGGCGTGTGAGCTGGCGTTTAGCACCCTTTGGAGACAGTGGAAACTCAGTGGCTAACAGGCTTTAGAGGCAGCAGGACTTAGCGGTTCACAGGAGCACTTAGGTCCACTGCATTAGGGGAGAGAACAGTTGGGCAGGCGATTGGTGGGGAACTCTGCAAAACTGAGGGGTTCACCACCCCCAGCAAACCTACACCTGGAATATGATGGTGATGGACCAAGATCCGGGTAGAGGTGAGAGCAGGCCTGTTAGAAGAGCAGGTGAGCTGCAGAAAGTCAGTGACCCCAGAGGCAAGACCTGCCCATGCTGATGACTTAATAAGTCAAAGTCCAATGAACAGGAAGTTAGAGGTGCTTCCCTAGGGGTCCAGTGGCTAAGAATCCACCTTACACTGCAAGGGACACTGGTTCCATCCCTGGTCCCAGAAGATCCCACATACCACCGAGCAACTAAGCCTGTGAGTCGCAACTGCGGAAGCCTGTGTGCCTAGACCCTGTGCAATAAGAGAAGCCAACACAGGGAGAAGCCTGCGGACCGCAATGAAGAGTAGCCCCCGCTTGCTGCAACTAGAGAAATCCTGCGTGCAACAAAATAAATCTTTAAAAAGGAAGTTAGAAACACTCTTCTCTTAGAGATATTAACAATGGCTAATGGCATCACTTGTGGGCCATCTTCTATGTGCAAAGAAGTTTATGTTTACACTGCCTTAATTCTCATAAAAACCCCTTCAAGTGAGTGTCATATACCCATTTTCTAGACATGGAGGTTGAGGCTCAGAGGGGCCCAAGCTGCCCACTTCCCGTCTTTGGCAGCAGAGTCCTGTGTTGGAGAGAGAGGTGGATCTGGAGAGCTTGATCCTGCCCTGGGCACGCGTGGTGTCGGTGCTCAGACGTGTGCCCTGCCCTCGCTGGCTGTAGGTTCCCACCTGTAGGATGAGGCAGTGCTCTTGGTCCTGGGCGTCCCAGCGCTGGTGTGTGTTCTTTTCCAGTTCTGCGAGTTCCTGTCGGCCCCGGAAGTGAGCCGCTGGGCCGGGCCCATCATCGATGTTCTCTTGGACTACGTGGGCAACGTGCAGCTCTGCTCACGGCTGAAGGAGCATATTGACAGCTTCGAGGACTGGGCTGTCATTAAAGAGAAAGCAGGTACGGGCTGTCGCTGCTGCTGCTGCTGCTGGCAGATCCCCCCGCCCGACTCAGGCCCAGGACTCGGGGACCTGTGACTGCTCCTGACGTTTGATGAGCACCTTCTCATGCCCGGCTGTGAGCTGTGTGCCACATCCAGTGTCTCCGTGACTCCCGACCTTCACGGAGACTATCACTTGGGCAAAATGTCTCATCACTAGTTAGTGGCAGAGCGGGGATTCAAATCGAGGTTTGATCCACTTAACCTTTCCAGGGTGTTTTAAACAAAAATCCCAGCTACCTGGGGGGCGTAAGCTGTCCAGGTTCGCGGGCCACTGGGAAGCCGTGTGGTGGGTGGAGGAGGGAGTGATGGGCTCAAGCACCTCAAACTGTAAAATGCCCACGAAGCACCCGAGCATCTTATTTAAAATGCAGAGTCTAGCCTGGCAGGTCTGGGGCGGGGCCTAAACGTGTACATTTCAACATGCTCCCAGGGCACCCCCAGAGCAGCACTGGTCTAGGAGGCAGGCCCCCAGAGCTCTGGAACCAGGGGCTTGCTGGGTGATCGTGGGCAGGACTCCCCTCTGGACCTTAGGGCCCCTGTCCAAACAGAGCAAGCTGGACGTGCTCAATGTCCGGCTCCTCCAGCTCTGCCAGCCTGGGGTGTTTGCAGGTGGGATCTGCCCGGCGCAGTGAGGTGGGCTTTGGCCATGTTCCAACAGCTGTGTGCAGCGTAGATGAGGTGGCCTCGCTGAGTCAGGCCGGAAATCCCTCTAAGGAATTGTGGAGCTCGCCTGGGCAGGTGAGGCGTCAGAGCAGTTGAACTTGGTGTTGCAGCTGATACTGAGGACATGCCTGTCCCCAGTAGCAGACCCAGCTGCCCCAGGGTTTCCTCTGGGTCTGAAGGGCACAGTCCTGTCTCCGGCTGTTTGTCGGATCACGTAGCACAGAGGCTGACTCGCAGAAAGTTATTTTTATCTCACCGCTGCTGCTGTTGTCCCCAGATGAGAATGCTGCCTCATTACCTGTCCAGGTGTCCCACAGCCCAGTGCCCAGTCTTGCCGAGGTCCTCCTTGATCCCGGGGCCCCTTTAAGTCTAAACTTTCTGGTAGGATTTTCCATTTGCACAAATGCCTGGGCACACTGGAATTGAGGCCTTTGATTAAGCTACTGGGCAGGCGATGGGGGGGTGGGTGGAGAGAGAGACCCAGGCAGGGGGGCGACACAGGGAGGAGGGTGGTATTGACTTGCTTACTTGCTGGGAGCGCCAGATTCTCAATGAAACATTCATTGAATTCATAAATGGTTGCTGTCACTGGGACTGGCCACTAGAGGCCACTAGAGAGTAAAGCGGTTCTTGCTGAGAATCCCACCTCTCACTTTCTCCTGAACCTGCCCTGCCTGGGAAGGGTAATTTACAACTAAACTGTGTCCCCGGAGGAAAAAATTGCAGAACCCTTTATTGTGCTATGAACATTTATTAGTAGGAAGAACAAAGAGTTCCTAACCGATACCTCTTTTGATTACTTTAAAGCCCTCCCTCCATCTCTGAAACACTTCCCCAGGTGCTTTTTCATTTAATGCTATTGTTGGTATCAGAGACTCCAAAGTAGGGAAAACCACTAGACCATTCAGGTATGACCTAAATCAAATCCCTTACAATTATACAGTGGAAGTGATAAGTAGATTCAAGGGATTAGATCTGATAGAGTGCCTGAAGAACTATGGACAGAGGTTCGTGACATTGTACAGGAGGCAGTGATCAAGACCATCATCAAGAAAAAGAAATGCAAAAAGGCAAAATGGTTGTCTGAGGAGGCCTTACAAATAGCTGAGAAAAGAAGAGACACTAAAGGCAAAGGAGAAAAGGAAAGATATACCCATCTGAATGCAGAGTTCCAAAGAATAGCCAGGAGAGATAAGAAAGCCTTCCTTAGTGATCAATGCAAAGAAATAGAAGAAACCAATAGAATGGGAAAGACCAGAGATCTCTTCAAGAAAATTAGAGATACCAAGGGAACATTTCATGCAAAGATGGGCGCAATAAAGGACAAAATAGTATGGACCCAACAGAGGCAGAAGATATTAAAAAGAGGTGGCAAGAATACACAAACAAACAACACAAAAAAGATCTTCATGACCCAGATAATCATGATGGTGTGATCACTCACCTAGAGCCAGACATCCTGGAATGTGAAGTCAAGTGGGCCTTAGGAAGCATCACTACGAACAAAGCTAGTGGAGGTGATGGAATTCCAGTTGAGCTATTTCAAATCCTAAAAGATGTTGCTGGGAAAGTGCTGCACTCAATATGCCAGCAAATTTGGAAAACTCAGCAGTGGCCACAGGACTGGAAAAGGTCAGTTTTCACTCCAATCCCAAAGAAAGGCAATCCCAAAGAATGCTCAAACTACTGCACAATTGCACTCATCTCACACGCTAGTAAAGTAATGCTCAAAATTCTCCAAGCCAGGCTTCAGCAATATGTGAACTGTGAACTTACAGATGTTCAAGCTGAATTTAGAAAAGGCAGAGGAACCACAGATCAAATTGTCAACATCCATTGGATCATCAAAAAAGCAAGAGAGTTCCAGAAAAACATCTATTTCTGCTTTATTGACTATGCCAAAGCCTCTGACTGTGTGGATCACAATAAACTGTGGAAAATTCTGAAAGAGATGGGAATACCAGACCACCTGACCTGCCTCCTGAGAAATATGTATGCAGGTCAGGAAGCAACAGTTAGAACTGGACATGGGACAACAGACTGGTTCCAAATAGGAAAAGGAGTACGTCAAGGCTGTATATTGTCACCCTGCTTATTTAACTTATATTCAGAGTACATCATGAGAAACGCTGGGCTGGATGAAGCACAAGCTAGAATCAAGATTGCCAGGAGAAATATCAATAACTTCAGATATGCAGATGACACCACCCTTATGGGGCAGAAAGTGAAGAGGAACTAAAAAGCCTCTTGATGAAAGTGAAAGAGGAGAGTGAAAAAGTTGGCGTGCTCTAGTCCATGGGGTCACAAAGAGACAGACACAGCTGAGTGACTGAACTGACTGACTGACTTTCATTTAATGCTGTGTTGTTGATATCAGAGACTCCAAAGCCAGCCAAGATGCCAGCCTTGGAGGCCCCGTGTCCTCTGCCCACCAGCAGCCTTTTGCATTCCCACAAGCTCAACCTTTGCTGAGAAAGGAGCTCTGCTTCCCAGGGCAGGCTCTGTTGGAAGTGGCAGAAATGCCCTGATGGGGCAGCTAAAGAGGCAGCGCTGGGCCGCCCTGGCCTCTCCACCCTCCCCCCACGTTCCCTCTGCATTCCCGTCTCCCCTGGGCGGTCTCTTTGGCTTGGCACTGTCGCTTCCCTGCTTGGACTGCCCTCCCTCACCTGGTAAATTCCTACCCACCCGTCTAGAGCCTTCTCAGATGCACCATCTGGTGTGGAAGGCTTTCCCCAAAGCTCCTGAGTGGGGACCCCTGCATCTCTGTCCGAAGCACAGGGCCAAGCGCAGTGAAGGGGTCAGCGTGTGTGTGTGTTGAATGAATGAATGGATGGCCTTCTTTAATTCAGCAAATGCCTACCCTGTTCCCAGAGCTGAAATTAATTACCCCATTACTAGATGCATCAGGACCAGTTCTTACCCCCCTCTCCCCGCCCCCCACCCCTTAGCTGAGAAAGCTCCACTGAATGCAGTATCCCTGGGGGCCTCCTGGAAGAGGCAGCCCGGTAGGATTCTGGGACCTGCTCAGTCCCTGCCCGTGATCCTGACTTCTCTGCACCTCCTCGAACCCAGAGCGGAGCTGCATGCATGGGTCACATAGGAGGTCGCGTTTGCTGAGGCTGTGCGGAAGGGCGGGGTCTGGGCTGGCCCGTAGAAGAGGGAGCCCGGGACAAGCGCTCACGCCAGGCGTGAGTCTTGCTAAGCCCTCACGTGTGAAGTGGGTTTGGCACCTGCCCTCCTTGGGCTTTCCTGGTGGCCCCGTGGTAGAGAATCCATCTGACAATGCAGGAGACGTGAGCTCAAGCCCTGGGTCAGGACAATCCCCTGGAGAAGGAAATGGCATCCCACTCCAGTATTATTCTTGCCTGGGAAATCCCTTGGACAGGGGAGCCTGGTGGGCTACCGTCCGTGGGGGTCACAAAAGAGCTGAACACAACTTAGCAACTAAACAACCACAGCAAAGCTGCCCTCCTCCTTCCTTGGGCTGTGCAGATGGGTGAAGGATGACACCTTTTCAGTTGGCAGGGACCGTGAGCATGGGGGAGTCAGGGAATCTCCTCTCTTAGCCAGCCACATGGGTCAGGTGCTTCCCACAAGCCAGGGGCCAGAGATGCAAACCCTCTGCCGGGTGCAGGCGACCAGTCAGCATCTCTCTTTCTGTCCTTTGTCCAGAACCTCCAAGACCCCTGGCTCATCTTTGCCGGCTGCGAGTTCGAAAGGCCATCGGGAAGTACCGCATCAAACTCCTGGACACGTTGCCGCTTCCAGGCAGGCTGATCAGATACCTGAAATACGAGAACACCCAGTAACCAGAGCACGTGGGGGAGGAGCGGCTCCTCAGATGGCTTCACTGAGTCTCAGGACAGCGGTGTCCCCAAATCCAGGGGGCCCGGGGACAGACGTGGCTGGGAGCCGCCGGGCTCTCAGCGGTCTCTGGACCAGAGCTTTGCCCAGAGCAGAGGACAGATGTGTCGAGCAGGAGAAGAACCATGTTGGCTTTCACTTGGAGGAGGAGATCCCAGGACGGCTCTGCCATCGGGAATGGCAGAAAGCTCCATTCCTGGGGCCAGGAGGTGGGGCCAGGGCAGAACTTGGGGTGGTCGGGGGAAGGCAAGGGGGCTGGCAGCGAAGCCCTGGCCCCACCTCCGGGCTATGGCTGGAGAGCTTTCGGGGTGATTCTGTCTTTGCTGGACAGCCTCGCTGCAGAGCTGCCCCATGCCCCTCCCCCGTGCTCTGTGAAACTCTCCACTTGATCTGAGCTCTCTCTCCAAAGCTGTGTGTGGCCCAGGGGAGCAGGGTGGGGAGGGCCCCCTCGGGCCCAGAGGGCTTCCTTAGGTACAATAAATGTTGCACAGACGACGCCCTGCCCGGTGGAGTCTCTTTCACCAGCCCCCTCCGGGGCCTTGAGGTCCTCAGCCCTGCTCCTGGTGGGAGTGAGGGTGGGACAGGGGGCTGGCACACGGCACACGGAGCCCTGATCGCGTCACTTTGGCTTGGACTTCTGAAAGACCCTAGAGCATGTGTCCTTCATTCACCAGAAGAGACCCATGGCCCGAGGAGAGGGAGCAGCTTGCTGCCCTGTGATCGGAGCAGACAATGTTGGTTTCTCTCTCCTGGTTCCGTTGCCATAGAAACCAGAGCATCATCACAAACAGGGTCTCAGAGGCTACAAGTCTCCTGACACCTGGCCTTGTCTTAACGTGCCCTGGCACTGTCTTCATGCCTTAACCCACCCATTTGGCTACAAAGGCTGAGATATGAAGGGAAAGCTGTCTAAATACTGGCTCCTGTGAGCAGGTTTCAGAGGGAGGCCATCGTCAGCCCTCTCGAAGGCCCCACACTTGAGAGGCAGGAAGCCAGCTGTGTGCCCTCCACCACATCCTCCCATCCTCCCATGACTTGGGGGGAGCCGGGCAGGAGCCGCCTGCCCGTTTTGGGTGCTGCAGGTGAGACCGCTGAGGATCGGCACTTAGGGCACTTTTTCCAGGTCTGAGTCTCTCTCACTGACACCACCCTGTTTTTCCATGGAAGTCAGTCTGGAGAAGGAAATGGCAATCCACTCCAGTGTTCTTGCCTGGAGAATCCCATGGACAGAGGAACCTGGTGGGCTGCAGTCCATGGGGTCGCAAAGAACCAGTTATGACTGAGTGAGCATGCGCAGTAGCTCATAGGCACTGTCTTCCCCCGCGTGATTAAAGCCACTCAGATGGCACCAGAGCAGGTGACCTTGCTGAAGAGCCTGCTCGGGCCTCCTCTAGGAGAGGCTTAACGGCGATCAAAGGCTATCTAGCCTTTATCTAGCCTTTGCTAGATAAGCAGCTGGGCGGGTGGCGAGAGCGCTGGTCCCAGGCCTGGCTCCAGATGGGCTTACATCTCTGGGGCCTTGGGTTCCCAGCTTTGTGGCCCTTGGTGGCCTTTCTGGCTCTCAGATCTTGGCTTTCCGTGGAACCAGTAAGTCCCGGTGTCTTCCTAAAGAGGCCGAATCTGCCAAGTAGCACCTTCCAGCCAGGGGTTTGGGGGACCCAGCTGCTTCTTGCCACCTCCTCCCTGGTTCAGGTGGGAAAACAGGCCCAGAGAGGGGAAGGGACTTGCCTGGTACACACAGCAAATCCCCGGGGTCCAGCCCAGCAGTGCTCAGCTAGAGTCTCACGCTGTCTTGCTGCAGAGATCCTGAAGAAATCCTGAAGGAAGCCTGCATCCTCCCAGACTGGGGATGTTCAACCCTGGGGTCCAGGGGAAGTGGCTGAGGAGGGTTCGGCGCACAGTCGGGAAAACCCTGACTGCAGAATGCCTTTGCTGACCGGGAGCCAGAGGGCATGCAGGCAGTCTAGGATGGGATGGAACAGAAAGATGCTTGGGTGCATTTGGGATGGGGCTGGGTATCAGGCAAACTCTTAAAACTCCAGCACTTCTCAGGTCACCTTATATCTTAGGGGGTCCTAACAGACAGGGGCCATGGGGCATTGGGCAGGATGGGGACACTGGTGAGAGGGAGGTCTCCCCTGGAGGAGGTGAGGCTTGAGGAGGTGGCAGGAGGTGGGAGGGAGGGCTCAGCCCCTGCATTCAGCATTGTGTGTGTATGTGTATGTGCGGGCATGCACGCATGCACACATGTGCACGCTCAGTCATGTCCAGCTCTTTGTGACCCAGTGGACTATATAGCCTGTCAGATTCCTCTGTCCATGGAGTTCTCCAGGCAAAAATACTGGAGCGGTTTGCCATTTCCTTCTCCAGGGAATCTTCCCGACCCAGGGATCAAACCCACAGTCTCTTGTATCTCCCGCGTTGACTAGTGGGTTCTTTACCAGCTGAGCCACCAGGGAAGCCTGCATTCAGCATTGGCACCATCTTTTTGCAGGATGCACGGCCCAGCCTGGGAGGTCCTGGAGTCATCCTGGGTTCTTAGAATACTGTTATACGTCCATACCAGTAAGTCACAGCCGCTGGTCAGGGTCCTTCCCCTCCAGTGCCCTGCCCAGGCATGGCCTTCGCAGATTCCCTGCCCCCTGCCCACCCCCCCACAACCTCTGCATAACCCAGCAGCTAAAGGGTTAACATCCCACTGCTGCTGGGGTCCATCCTGATTAGCCGGTGCTCAGACTGTGCCAGGGTTTCCCTTTTTTGACCATCTCTGCTGTCAAGAGGACTGTACAGCCTGCACTCCCATGCTTATCCAGCTCCTGGGAGGATTTCAGCCTGAGATGTCTAGACAACCTCACTAAACAAAGTCCTGAAAGTGGCTCTGTGTCGTGGGCAGGAGCATGTGTGACCCGGTGCTGGAGATCCGAGCCTGTGTGTAGGAGGTGAGTTCCTGGGTTTCACGTTGAACCAACACCATTCACGTTTTGGTTAGGGGAGCAGCTACTTCTGCAGCTGCAGCTGTCTTTTTGTATCTTGGTTTTAATACTGAGAATTTCTGAGGTGTGTCTTTTCCCAGCTTGCTTCCACATGGGGAATTATGGTGTCAGGTACTTCTGCTCAGTGGCACCTTGGTAAAGATTTCTGCTTCCAGACAAGGTTCCCAGAGTGTGACTGAAGCACCACCAGGTAGCCCCCTGGGAAAGGTTGAACCCCAGAGGGGCTGTGGGGGCCCGAGCACCGTGCGCTGGAGCAGCACCCCAAGGAAACATGCCTCCCAGAGTGGGGCTGCTTCTCTGAGGGAGTCGGCTGATTGGATGGCCCCAGGACCCATTCCTGTGGGCCGCCCAGTCTATAAACATTGAAATGTTGGCATGGAGGGACCTGGAGACATAGTCAGATCACTAGCTGACTTTGGGTGGGTGCAGCTTCTCATCCTTTGTGTCACACCAGACTGCCTGGCGCTCTCACCCTCCCCACAGCTACCCACGGGACAGGTCTATTTTCCTGTCTTTTTTTTTCATTTTCAATCACATTTTTTGGATGAAGAAATTCTGGCACAGAGAGGTCAAGTAACTTGCCCGAGGTCACACAGCTACTAGGGGGCAGGGCCAGGATTAGAGCTTTTAAGAGCCCGCTGTACTGTGTGCAGGGGCTGAACCTTATCACAGTGGGTCCTGCAGGGACCTCTGTAATGACGTGCAAGTCGGGAAAGCGGGGGCATGCCTCCTCCCGGGCCCCTCTCTGTTCTTTAACAGTGGAGCAGCCTGAGGTGAGGGTCCCGGCTGAGGACTGCTTAGCCCATGAACCAGACGATCATGCAAGACAACCCTACCTGTGCCACGTGGCCTCGCGGCTCTGACGTCCTCTGAGACCATCAGACATAAAACACCAGAAACCCACCCGCTTTCCCAGCGAGCAAGCTGCCCCATCCCTGGAAATGCCTCGCTTCAGGGGAAACCCACAGGCCCTTAGCAATCACTAATTCTGAGTCCTGTGTTAGGAAGGATTCTGAGGCCATATCTGGACCTGAAAGGGGAGCGTCTGTGACCAGTTATGAGGCTCACGTTGGATGCAGACGCGGTGGGTGCATCTGATTGCTATCTTTGATCTCGTCCCTCCTTTACGCAGGGGTTTCCCAGGTGGCAGTAGTGGTAAAGAAGCCGCCTGACAATGCAGGAGACCTAAGAGGTGTGAGTTCAACCCCTGGGTTGGGAAGATGCCCTGGAGAAGGAAAGAGTAACCCACTCCAGAGTCGGACACGACTGAGAGACCCAACACGCATGCGCTCCTTTACAGAGGAGGAAACTGAGGCTCAGAATGGGGAATAGCCTGTTCAGCATTATGCTGTCGATGTGGGCGTGGAGTCCCCTACCAGGCGGGCCCCCTGCCCCCGTCCCAGTCGTGAGAACTGTGCTTTGAGGAAATGAGACGCTCAGCCCCTGTGGCAGCCTCCACGTGCTCAGCCACAGAGCCACGCCACCCACTGCAGCGTGGGTGGAGGCCTCCAGGGGCCTGGCCGGTTTGGATGCTATTGGGGGCAAAACCGAGGGCCGCTGCCCACCAGCAGTGCACCTCTCTCTGCCTGGACACTGGCAGAGGCCCTCATCTTCCCACCGACGGCCGCCTAGTGTGTGCCAAGGGCTGCGTCAGGCCCGGGAAGAGAGCCAGCGGCAGGCAACCTAGGAATCTGAATTAACTAGAGGTGATGGTGATGACGGTGATGATGATGACTTTGCCTGTGGACACAGAACCAAAGAATAAGCAAGAAACAACTTGTTCAGACAACGAGTTATTTTGTCCATAAGAGGCCCCGTTCCTATTTGGCCTGACCTTCCCCTCTGACGAGGGTTGGACGTGACTGCCTTGGCCCAGCCTCTGCTCTGAGGCTGTGATGGGATGGGAGGTGCCACTGAGGGGCCTGTTTTCATCTCACCCATCATCCCGCAGGTGGGGCAGAGAGGCCCGGAGAAGAAGGGCCCAGCCCTACATCCCACAGCAGGACCAGGAGGACAGGTTCACCATGCCCGCCTCCGCCCAACACACACACACCCCAGTACCAGCTCCCCGTCTCCAGAGCAGTTTGGACCCTCTGGGGCTCCAGGCCTCCCCTGGCCTCTATTCACTGACATGGGGAACCAGAGCACCCTTTCCCAGGAATCCTCTCCACCCTCCTTCAGGTTGAGCTGCCGGGCTCCCAGGCCCATTCCCAGGCATCACAGAGGCCTCTGGGCCACTCCGGGCACCGCCCCCGCCCACCCCCGACAGCTTCTGTAAGCAGCCTTCCACCTGGGCATAGCCAACATTTCCTAGGCAGGGGGACCAATCAACTTCATGAACCCGAGAATGTGAAAACTGCAAAAGAAATGTCTTTATTCTCTTAACCTTCTTAGTATTTACAAAGAACAAGAAGAACAAGACTGAGACTGGCTTACACAGTGGGTGGCAGGTGAACAGGTGGTATAACGCTGGCTTCTGGGGTGGCCGGAGGGCCAGGGCAAGGGCCCCTGCCACCTGAGGTCTGCACTGGCACACAGGTGATCTGTTGGGCTCTGGCCTGCTTGCAGAGTGGCTGGCCTCCGGAGACTGTGCAGGCTGGCTGGACAGCTGCCCGAGAAGAAGCCCCTGCCCCATCCTGCCCTGCCCTCCTCCCCCCGGATGCAAAGGGATGGTTCTCGCCCAGCCCGCTCCTCACCAGAAGAGCTCACTCCTGGGGGTCCCCGATACCCTGCAGGCCACAGGAGGGGCCGAGGCCCTCCCCGCCCGGCTAGAGGTAGCCAAAGACATTGAAGATGGGTGGAGGCACAGCCGGCTTAGTGGGGATGGGTTTCAGAACCACAGGTCTGTACACTTTCTGCCCCGGGCCCTCCGCGTCCTTGCAGAAGTGGGCCAACTCGCCAGGGGAAGCCGCGCTTTTCCGCCAGAGGCCCAGGCTGGGCATCGGGCTCTGGGGCAGGGTGCCTGGAGGGCTTGGGTAGACGGGCTGTCCATGGTACTGGAAGGGGCAGCAGCTCCAGGCACTGACGCGGCCCACCAGGGAGACCCCGGGCATCTTGAGCGGCTCCTTTTCAGCCAGCGCCCTGGGGGAGGCGGGCACCGGGGCGGTCTCGGGCCCCAGGGGCTCCAAGCCTTTACAGTGTTTCTTACCCTCGTAGGGAGGTCCCTCCCGGGGCCCCAGGCCCCCCTCCAGCCCCACAGGGTAGCTGTGGGTGGGCCGTGGCTCTTCCCAGAAGGAAGCAGGCAGCTGTCTTTTCCTCATGGGCACCTGGCCAGGCCTGGCAGCTCCTGGATCCGGCCCATGGAGGGTCCGCTCCTTAGAGAGGCTTTCCTCCCGGTCCGGGTTCCCCAACGCCTTCTCCTTGCAGCCCCCACCCCCGCCGGGGCTGGAACCGTGGCCAGATTCAAGGGGCAGCGGCCTCCCGGGCCGGTCCTCGGGCCCCCTTTTCAGGTGAGGCTCGGCCCCTCTGCCGGGGAGACCCCGCGGGAGCCGGGAATACTTCTGGGAGAAGCGTTTGAGCTGCTTCTGCAGGTACTTGCGGTGGTCCACGGAGCGGCGGCAGGGCGCGGACTTGTCCAGGGCTGCCTTGATGTCACTGGATGCCAGGTTCACGAAGTTTAGCAGCATCTTCACGTCACTGTCGGATGCCATCACCAGGGGGCTGCTGCACCGGGCTTTCCATGAAGAGGCTGGGTTCTCCAGGCAGCTGGCCGCTCCAGGGAAGAGCGCAGAGCCGACCTGCTGTGGGGGGCGGACACAGCAGCCGTTGGTGTCTTTCCGAGCATCCACACTCCACCCTCCCCAAAGGCCACACGGCTGCAGACAGCAGTGGTCCCCACCTCAGCCCCCCTCAGCCCTAGACAGGGTCCCTGGGTCATGGGATATCCATTCAGGCTGCTAAGCATTTCCCAGAGCCTCTGGGATGCAACAGGAAGAAACCCATTTCATCCTCAGCAGGGCTCCGCACCTGCAGGTGAGGCTCAGACAGGTCAGGAGACTTGCCCAAGGCCTCCCCGGCCTACGGAGCGGCATTGCTGGGGTGGGACCCCACCAGCAATGGTGCGGGTCTCCCCACACACCACGCTGCCTGCAGGGCACGACTTGCCAGCAAGGTTCTCATTTTCTGAGCCGAGGCAGCCGCTCCACTTTCAGGCAAGGCCAAGCCCCCTGGTTGCCTGGCGGTGCCCTCCTCCTCCCACCCCCGCCCCCAAGTCCTGCTAGCGGCCGCCCCCCACCCCCTCCTCGGTCCCCACGCTCCACCTACAAGTCTCACGCACGACAGGCGGGACCCCTGTCTGGCACTCAAGCCGAGGCCTGCCTGGCGGGCTGATCGCAGGCTGCGGGCAGCGGGGGCTCCGCCGTAGAAGCATCTGCAGCAATTTCATGCCTCCTCAGCCACCACCCCGCCCCTCCCCCAGGCCCCAGCCCACCCCACGCCCCCCACCCAGTGGGGCCTGAGCCGCCTGGGCCTCCACACTGACCGAGGGTGCGGGGGCCCGGGCCCCCACCCAGGCGGCCCGCAGAGGTTTCCCCCGCGCCGCAGACCTGGGCCAGGCCCGGCGCGGCCGGCGAGCTCCGTGGTCCGGCTGGAGGCAGTTGTGCCGCCCTCGAGTGGGCTGAATGGAGGACGACGGGTCCCCGGAGCTGGGGGGCCCTCAGGCCAATCAGGAGCGCCTCTCCAGATACAAAGCATCCCAAGCAGGCGGCGGCCCCGTTCCCACATTCTTTGCCGTCACAAATTGTCGCCATGGGGACCATCACAAAAAAGACAGCTCCCAAATGCAATCATTTCCCGGTAAATTTCTACCCTTCAGCCCACTCTCCCGTCTCGGCCTCCACGCCCCTCCTCCCCTTGACCTCGGTTCCCTGGCTTCTCGAGGGGGCGGGGTGTGTGGTGTGCGTGCGCGCGTGTGTGTGTGTGTGTGTGTGTGTGTGTTTAAAAAGTCCAAGATTGAGGAGGGGCCGGACCCAGAAGAGATGGGCTTGCAAACCTCCCCCCAAGACTCCGGGCCTGCAGCTGCCATGCTCCAGTGCAGACAGACAATCGGACGGGGTAAGCCAGGGCGGGCTGCTTTCCCCGCTGTCCTTGAGTGTTGAGTGGCTCACTCGCGCTGTCTCTCTCTCCTCTCTCCCCACCCCCTTCCCAAGGCATGGGCACTGGCGGGCCTGCGAGGGCGGGCAGCACGCTGATGTTGGAAAGGTGGCCAGGGAAGGGCCCTCTAACGAGGTGCTGGGATATCCATGGGAAGAGGGCCGGAGCTCTCAGGAATCTTGTCTTTATGTTTGCTTCCTCAATTGAGCTGCACAAAGCCTGAATTGCCCATTCAGTGAGGCCGGACAAAAGGTTGGCGTTGCACGGTCCCCTAGCATTTGTAGTCAAACAGTTAGGGACTTAAATCGAGTCGTCATGATGGAGAAAGAGGTGGACAAAGCCCATAGAATTGCCATCAGCAAACATTTTCCTGTGTCATATTAGCCGGTCTCCATGGCTCCCCTTGGCCTGGGGACAATGGCACAAGTTTGCACACTTGGCCACTGTCACCGTGCCAACGCCGGCGGGGCCGCAAGCAGGGCTGCTCCGAGCAAGCAAGAGACCCGGGGCCGCCGCCGGCCCTGCCCACCGGCGGCCCGAAGGAAGGTGCGGCCGCAGGCGGAGGGGACTGCCTGGGAAATCCGGATGGGCGAGGCCTCCGTGCCAGCCAGCTGGATGGGCCCCCGACATGCCACCCTCTGCCTCTTCTCTCCTCTCCTCCTCTCCTTCCTCTTCCTCTCCTCCCCTTTCCTCTGCTGCCTGCTCCTCCTGCCCCCTAGCCAGCCGACATCAGCCCCAACCTTGACATCACAAACTAATATGCCAAGGATGCTCTCCAAAGCCCCCTCCCCACTCCCAGACTGGGAGCCCTGGCAGCGCAGCAGGGCTCACCCACGCGTGATGCTCCCACCCCTTCCTGCTGGCCAATGGGCAGCCACTGCCAGCGCCAGACGCCTGCAGGCAGCACGGGGCTCCAAGTCACCTCCCCTCTGGCCTGAGGGTCCCCACAGGCTGAATGAGGGGTTTGGAGGAGATGGTTTAGGCACTGAGGAGCCCGGTGTAGTGTTCTCCGGGCCCTCTTCCCCTGCTGCTGAGATGAAGACGTGACCTTGGACTGGAGCATCCCGATTGTGAGCCCCTATCTGCAGCAGCCTCTGCCTGCCCCAGGGCTAAACCACTGTCATTTTACCAACCCCCCCTTCCTCCGAAATGTAGGGGTTATTTGCTTCTGCAGCGCAGTCCAGCCCACCCTGCCTGGCAGAAGCAGGAAACATCCTTTCTGTTCCAAAGTGCCCTGCCCACACGGCTGGAGAAAACACTTTGCTGCCTGAGGTCACCCGGTTAGGCTCTGGAGCAGTGCTGATCATGGCACCACATTGCCTACTGCCGGGGGCACCCAGCCTGGTGTGAATTCCAGCCACTCCACAGCCTAGCGCCAGCCCAGGAACCACCTTATCCATTATTCTCTGCTGGGAGACTGACCTCAAATTACCCCAGCCCCAGTGCCGCCTAGACTCCAGACACTGTGTGTCTGCACCCGCCAGTCTGTCGAGTACGCCTTCCCTCCTCTAAGAGCATGGAGATGCTCTCCACGCACTCCGCTTAGATCTCAGCGCACCTGCGTCCCTCCAGCCCACCTGATGCCGCCCGCCTGTGGCGTCATCCCCTTGCTTCTCCACCAGTGATGGACTCCCATCCCCAACAGGTCCCTGAGCCCTGTGGGAGTCGAGTCTGCATCTTTAAAAATCTCCAGAGCTCTTAATAGGGGCTGCTCTTCCACCAAATATAGGAGAGAGGCGAGGAAGGAAGGGAGGGAGAGAAAAACGGGGTGAAGACAGTGGAGACTTGTAGAGCACCTGGTACCCATTGACATGCACGCACGTGGACCAGCTCACGTGGCCCTGGGACAGCTCCAAGGGTGTGGGTGTGGCCAGCCCAGAGGAGGAGTGCAGGGGGCAGCTAGTTTCCTAAGCGCCCACAGCTACTAACTGGTAGAACTTGAACCTGAAGCCAGGACTGTCTGTATACAAAGTCCATGTCGGTCCCCCCAGGCCCTGATGCTCCCCTGAGCTGTTGGGTTGGACAGCCTCTCAGACCAGGTTTTCTGTGTCAAGTCCTGGCTTCAGCTCTTCTGTCCTTCAGCAGGACGTGACTCTCAACTTCTGACTCAGGAACATGGGAGCTGCAGCCATGGGTGATCAGCCGAGGTGAGGAGTGGCGACTGTGGCTTGAACTGTGGCCTAAGAACCTGAACCACCGCCCTGCACGGACCCAGCCCTACCCCAGGCTTCAGGCCACACCTCTGGGACTGCCTGTGACCCTTGCTGAGGAAGCCTTCTCCATGATTATCTGATGGCCCGTATACACAGGTGGAAAGACATCACTGATAATAATCATGCCTCGCTCTGGAGAGAATGTCCACAATTATTCTCTCGGTGTGGTCCTGGGTCTGTGCAGGGAAGCAATTGTTCTCCCTATTTACAGTGGGTGACACGTCCAAAGACAAGCTTCAGACTTCTGCTTCTTGGGCCCAACTCAGGCAACCCTGTCCCCTCAGCACTCTTTCAGGCCCAGCTCAAACATCCAGGAAGTCTCACCAACGTGCCAGCATTATATATGCTCTCATCCTCCATTTCCAGAGAAGGCAATGGCAACCCACTCCAGTACTCTTGCCTGGAAAATCCCATGGATGGAGGAGCCTGGTAGGCTGCAGTCCATGGGGTCGCAAAGAGTCGGACACGACCGAGCGACTTCACTTTCAGTTTTCACTTTCATGTGTTGGAGAAGGAAATGGCAACCCACTCCAGTGTTCTTGCCTGAGAATCCTGGGGACGGGGGAGCTTGGTGGGCTGCCATCTATGGGGTCGCACAAAGTCGGACATGACTGACGTGACTTAGCAGCAGCATCCTCCATTTACAGATTCAAAGATGAAGTCTAACCTCCTTGATTTAACACAGAAGGCTGGCACAGAATGTTATTGTTGTTCAGTCACCAAGTCACGTCTGACTCTTTGATACCCCATGGACTGCAGCACGCCAGGCTTCCCTGCCCTTCGCTGCCTCCTTGCTTGCTCAAACTCATGTGCATTAAGTCAGTGATACCATCCAACCATCTTATCCTCTGTCAGCCCCTTCTCCTCTCGCCCTCAATCTTTCCCAGCATCAGGATCTTTTCCAGTGAGTCAGCTCTCCACATCAAGTGGCCAAAGTATTGGAGCTTCAGCTTTAGCATCAGTTCATCCAATGAATATAGAGAGTTGATTTCCTTTAGAGTTGACTATTTTGACCTCCTTGTAGTCCAAGGGACTCTCAAGAGTCTTCTCCAGCACCACAATTCAAAAGCATCAGTTCTTTGGCACTCAGACTTCTTTATGGTTCAGCTCTCACATCTGTACATGACTACTGGAAATACCATAGCTTTGACTATATGGACCTCTGTCAGCAAAGTGATGTCTCTGCTTTTTAATATGCTGTCTGAGTTTGTCATAGCTTTCCTTCTAAGGAGCAAGCGTCTTAATTTTGTGGCTGCAGTCACTGTCCACAGTGATTTTGGAGCCCAAGAAAGTAGCTTTTCACTAAATGTTTCATGAATTAAGTACTTTGGACATTCCATCTCAAA